ACAACACACACAACACACACAGCACACACAACACACACAGCACACACAACACACACAGCACACACATCACACACAACACACACAGCACACACAACACACACAGCACACACAGCACACACAACACACACAGCACACACAGCACACACAACACACACAACACACACAACACACACAGCACACACAGCACACTCAACACACACAGCACACACTACACACACAGCACACACTACACACACTACACACACAGTACACACAACACACACAGCACACACAACACACACAGCACACACAACACACACAACACACACAGCACACACAACACACACAACACACACAGCACACACAACACACACAACACACACAGCACACACAACACACACAGCACACACAACACACACAACACACACAGCACACACAACACACACACACACACAACACACACACACACACAGCACACAACACACACAGCACACACAACACACACAGCACACACAGCACACACAACACACACAGCACACACAACACACACAACACACACAAGCACACACAACACACACAGCACACACAGCACACACAACACACACAGCACACACAACACACACACACACAGCACACACAACACACACAGCACACACAACACACACACACACACCACACAGCACACACAACACACACAACACACACAGCACACACAACACACACAGCACACACAGCACACACAACACACACAGCACACACAACACACACAGCACACACAGCACACACAACACCACAGCACACACAGCACACACAACACACACAACACACACAACACACACAAGCACACACAGCACACACAACACACACAGCACCACAACACACACAACACACACAACACACACACACACACACAACAGCACACACAACACACACAACACACACAGCACACACAACACACACAGCACACACAGCACACACAACACACCAACACACACACACACAACACACACAGCACACAACACACACAACACACACACACACACACAACACCACACACACAACACACACAACACACAACACACACAACACACACAACACACACAACACCACACACACAACACACACAACCACACAGCCACACAACACACACAGCACACACCACACACACACACACACACACACACCACACAGCACACACAGCACACACACACACACACAGCACACACAGCACACACAACACACACAGCACACACAACACACACAGCACACACACAACACACAACCACACAGCACACACAACACACACACACACAGCACACACACACACACCACACAGCACACACAACACACACAACACACACAGCACACACAACACACAGCAGCAGTAGCGGCAGAATTCCCTCTTGCTACTGACAAACTACACCGCGATTTCCATTCCATAGCGTATATATGCAGCCGCAAATGAAGATGCCGTCCGATGAAATAAAATAAAAACGACTAACGCATTGCATTTGTTGTGCACGAATAGTGCTCTAGAAATAAAGTTTGATTGATTCCCGTAACGAACGCCCCACCGTGGCCCAACCGTGGCCACATCGTGGCCCCACGGGGTCACGAGGTCAAGGAGGGCCGTTCGTGAACACGGCGCGGGGTGGGGGGCTAGCGATGCGTTCCTGCCGACGGACGCATCCACGGCGCGGCGACGCTCGCCCGATAAGCCCGCTCGCGTGTCGCGCACGGCAGGGCAAAGGGAAGATCGTGACGGGGTGGCGGTGTTGTTGTTGTTTTTTGTGTCTTTTCTCAGGGACCCCGTGGAATGCCCGGCGAGAGGGGACGTAGCGGCGGCGCCGGATCTGCTGTGAGTCCCCGAGAAGAAGCAGACGCCGCCGTGTGGCCTCTGGCGTAGCGAGAGGAGCAGCCGCGGCTGTCGTCACCGTAGCCGTCACGTGTCGCCACGAATTAAAGAAAAAGAAAACTAAATAAAATATGAAAACTTTTCCGGTATCGTTAACGACGTTATCATCATCGTCGTCGTCATTATCGGCCTGGAATACAATTACTCCTTAAAATAAACTTTGCCACCAACATCATCATTACCTGGGTCACAATCACGACGTAAGAATTATGATGAATAATAATAATAAAAAATTAGTTTCAATAAAATTGACTTTGACATCACCATGATCATCGTTGCCTAGCTCCTGGCCACCCTATCGCGATCGCTCTTCGTGATGGCCATCGTGTCTTCCTGACATCATCATGATCTCAGAATCATCGCCGTCATTCCGCACCAAAAATTGTGAATTGATATTATTGCCAACAACTTTATCACACCTGTCAAAATAATCATCATCATCATCATCATCACGGAAGCTCTTCGTATGCAAGCATGGTGAATGGTGCTCGGACCGTGCCGCTGTGGGTAGCACGAGCCGCCAGCGGAACGGTGATGACGATGGTGATGGTGTTGTTGATTGTTGTTGTTGTTGATGGTGTTGTTGGTGTTGTTGATGGTGTTCTTGCTGGTAATGGTGTTGATGGTGTTCTTGCTGGTAATGGTGTTGATGGTGTTCTTGCTGGTAATGGTGTTGTTGGTGGTGGTGTTGATTGTGATGGTGTTGTTGATGGTGTTCTTGCTGGTAATGGTGTTATTGATGGTATTGTTGACTGTTATGGTGTTGATGATGGTGTTCTTTCTGGTAATGGTGTTGTTGGTGGTATTGTTGATTGTGATGGTGTTGTTGATGGTGTTCTTGCTGGTAATGGTGTTATTAATGGTATTGTTGACTGTGATGGTGTTGATGATGGTGTTCTTGCTGGTAATGGTGTTGTTGGTGGTGTTGTTGACTGTGATGGTGTTGATGATTGTGATACGTGTTCCTGATGTTGTCGATGATGTTGTTGAAGTTGTTGTTGTTGCTGTTGTGCTCCCCTTGCAGGGAGCTCGTGGTGCTGATGGTGCCCCTGGCCCCGCCGGACCCGCGGTGAGCATCTCCATCACATCGCTGTAGTAACACCATCATCCTCAGTGGAGCTCCGTGTCACCCCGCTGTAGTAACACCATCACCCGTGGAGCTCCGAGTGAACCCGCTGTAGTAACACCATCACCCGTGGAGCTCCGTGTCACCCCGTTGTAGTAACACCATCGCCCTCCGTGGAGCTCCGTGTCACCCCGCTGTAGTAACACCATGGACCGCGTTGCTCCGTGTCACCCCGCTGTAATAACAGCGCTGACCGTGCGCTCCTCCCGCAGGGCCCCATCGGAGGTGTCGGTGTGCCCGGCTTCCCCGGAAGCCCCGGAAACAAGGTGGGTGGCCGCGCGAGAGAGAGAGAGCGAGAGACCGCCAGCCGCGTGCGTGAATGGGTCGCAGTCGAATGTTTGAAATGCGCTTCGCTCGTTTGCACCGGGCGCGCGAGCCGCCGTGGCGATGGGCTCCAGCTCCTTCGACCGTTCGTGCGGCGCTCACGGCAAGAGGGCCTCGAGGGGGTCAGGACGGAGCTCGGAGGCGCTCGGCACCCCCCCCCCCCCACCCCCTTGTTTTGCCGGCCTGCCACCCGTGGCTCGTCACCACAATGTTGCCGAGCGAACGCCGCCGACGGCAGCGAGAGTGATCATTCAAATTGACGGAGCGCCCGTAGAGGATCGCTCTCGAAACCCCCGGCGAGCGGGGTTTTGAAGCGCCACAGTATCGCCAGTCGTGCTTGCACGAGACGAGAGAAACGACGAACGGGGCGGAGAGTTGTGGCGGTGGGGATGGAGTGGGGGGGTGAGTGGAGGGGGGGGGGTGAGTGGGGGGGGTAGATAAACGACGTAGGTGAGGAGAGGCGCACGTGTGAGATGCGCGGTGGGGGCGGGGGGGGGGGGGAGCGGTGGCAGTGGAGTTTCGCATCGCAGCACCTGGCCGACGAGGGAAGACGCAATCCCGGCCTCACCCCCCGCCCCTCCCTCCCGCACTCCAACGCTGGAGCAGGGAGAGAGGGTTGCCACCGCTGAGGTGCCAGCAAATCCTGCAAATAATGTCACGGGGAAGAGAATGTCCCGGCGTGCCGGCGGAGGGAAGAGCTACGCGCGTGTGCACGCTCCGTCTTGAGCGCTGTTGTGTTGTTATCGCTTGCTTGGGATGTTATTGTCCCGGTGGGGGTGGGGGGGGAGGTTTGGGAGGGGGGGGCATTACAGATTTCCCAGGAGAGTTTTGTGATCTCAAAAGTGGGGACGACCGCGGGAAAAAACCAGGCCAGCCTTAACCCCCCCCCCCAAGCCCTTGAGCGCTTTAACGGGTGCTCGCAGACAGCGCTCCCTCTGACACCGTGGTTCTTCTTCTGCCGCGTGACCAGGGTGAGGTCGGCCCCGCTGGTGCTATCGGAGCCGGTGGACAGCAGGGACCAGCGGGAGAGCCCGGCATTGGCGGAGGCATCGGACCTGCAGGCCCTGCCGTGAGTACCCGCGACTCACGTGTGTGTGTGCGTGCGTGTCTGTGTATGTGCATGCGTGTCTGTGTGCGTGCGCGTGTCCATGTGTGTGTGTGCATGCGTGTCTGTGTGTATGCGTGCGCGTGTCCGCGTGTGTGTGTGCGTGCGTGTCTGTGTGTATGCGTGCGCGTGTCCGCGTGTGTGTGTGCGTGCGTGTCTGTGTGTGTGCGTGCGGTAAGCACGACAAACCCGACGGTCCGAGTTGGATTCCCACTCATGAGCAACGATTAACCGAACCGGTTACTGGCACTCCGCTGGGTTGACTCGGCCTTAACTGAGTAGCAAGGACGGCATGCGAACGTCAGCCACCGGAGAGACGGCGGTGGCCGGGCGGGCGGGTTGCTGGCTGCGCTGCTGCCCTGTGAAGAGTCCTGGCCCTAAATAGGTGGCGGCTACACCACCGGCCCCTGTGGCCTATAAAGTACCGGCCTGCTGGCCCATTGTGCCACAGCTGCCTGGTGACCCAGTGTGGCACGACTGCCTGGTGACCCAATGTGGCACGACTGCCTGGTGACCCAGTGTGGCACGGCTGCCTGGTGACGCAATAGCTTCATGGTGACCCAGTGTGGCACGGCTGCCTGGTGACCCAATAGCTTCATGGTAACCCAGTGTGGCACGGCTGCCTGGTGACGCAATAGCTTCATGGTGACCCAGTGTGGCACAGCTGCCTGGTGACCCAATAGCTTCATGGTGACCCAGTGTGGCACAGCTGCCTGGTGACGCAATAGCTTCATGGTGACCCAGTGTGGCACAGCTGCCTGGTGACCCAATAGCTTCATGGTAACCCAGTGTGGCACGGCTGCCTGGTGACGCAATAGCTTCATGGTGACCCAGTGTGGCACAGCTGCCTGGTGACCCAATAGCTTCATGGTGACCCAGTGTGGCACAGCTGCCTGGTGACCCAATAGCTTCCTGGTGACTCAGTGTGGCACGGCTGCCTGGTGACCCAATAGCTTCATGGTGACCCAGTGTGGCACAGCTGCCTGGTGACCCAATAGCTTCATGGTGACCCAGTGTGGCACAGCTGCCTGGTGACCCAATAGCTTCATGGTGACCCAGTGTGGCACGGCTGCCTGGTGACCCAATAGCTTCATGGTGACCCAGTGTGGCACGGCTGCCTGGTGACCCAATAGCTTCATGGTGACCCAGTGTGGCACGGCTGCCTGGTGACCCAATAGCTGCCTGGTGACCCAGTGTGGCACGGCTGCCTGGTGACCCAATAGCTTCATGGTGACCCAGCGTGGCACGACTGCCTGGTGACCCAGTGTGGCACGGCTGCCTGGTGACCCAATAGCTTCATGGTGACCCAGTGTGGCACAGCTGCCTGGTGACCCAATAGCTTCATGGTGACCCAGTGTGGCACAGCTGCCTGGTGACCCAATAGCTTCATGGTGACCCAGTGTGGCACGGCTGCCTGGTGACCCAATAGCTTCATGGTGACCCAGTGTGGCACGGCTGCCTGGTGACCCAATGGCTTCATGGTGACCCAGTGTGACCCCGTGCCACGGAGACGAAGCAAGGACAAGACGGGCCCACGTGCGGGATCGCGTGGATAGAACCGTGCCTCGCAACGCCGATGATGGGCGATGCAAATGCTCGCTGTTTTTTCTCTCTTTCTCTCTCCGCAGGGTCTTAGAGGCGCCAACGGAGCTCAGGGACCCAAAGGACCTTCGGTGAGTGGTGCCGGCCGTGGGCCACCTGCGCAGCGCTCGGAGCGCGCGCGTTGTCGTTGTTGTCGTTGTTGTCGTTGTCGTTGTTGTTGTTGTCGTTGTTGTCGTTGTTGTCGTTGTGCCTTGGCGACGTTCATAACCTTCGCGCGGTGGTTGGCGATTACCTGGGGAGACAAAGGCGGCCGGGCGTGGTGTTGCCCACCCACCCCCTCGTGTGCCGTGCCGGCCTTCATAGCTGCTCGCCAACAGCACTTGCCCCAACAGTCTGTTACAGGCTATACGGGGGGTGGGGGGGGAGTGATCTTTGACTCTAGTACCTCTACTACCTATGCCTGTATCTTTGCGTCTTAAAATGTGTGCGCTCATCTGACCGTGCGCCTCTGTCCACCGCTGTCCACCGCAGGGAGACTCCGGACCTGCCGGTGGCCCCGGGATGCCCGGACCTCGTGGGCCCCTTGGGCCCCCCGGTTCGTCGGGCCCTGCTGGACCCAGAGGCATTGCGGTGAGTGCTGCCCCCTCTGCCCGCACTCCTCTTTCTCTTTCTTTTGTTTTACGATCGGAGGAAGCAAGAAGTTGCTCGGTGTATTTGGCACTTTGCTTCGTTCATCATTTAGTTTTTTAATGTTTTGCTTTACGTAACCCCCCCCCCCCTCCTTTTTAAATGAAAAATTTAACAAAATATGTTTCGCTCTGCTCTCCTTACCCCTCCCCTCTCTCTACCCCCCTCTCTGCCCCCCCTCTCTCTGTACCCCCTCTCTTCCTACTCTCTCTCTCCCGTGCCCCCTCTCTCTCCACATCTTCACCCCCCCCCTCTCCTCTCTCCCCTCTCTCTCCGTGCCCCCCTCTCCTCTCTCCCCTCTCTCTCCGCGCCCCCCTCTCCTCTCTCCCCTCTCTCTCCGCGCCCCCCTCTCCTCTCTCCCCTCTCTCTCCGTGCCCCCCTCTCCTCTCTGCCCTCTCTCTCCGCGCCCCCCTCCCTCTCTCCCCTCTCTCTCCATGCCCCCCTCTCCTCTCTCCCCCTCTCTCTCCGTGCCCCCCTCTCCTCTCTCCCCTCTCTCTCCGTGCCCCCCTCTCCTCTCTGCCCTTTCTCTCTGCGCGCCCCCTCTCCTCTCTCCCCTCTCTCTCCGTGCCCCCTCTCCTCTCTCCCCTCTCTCTCCTGCCCCCTCCCTCTCTGCCCTTCTCTCCGTGCCCCCTCTCCTCTCTCCCCTCTCTCTCCGCGCCCCCTCTCCTCTCTCCCCTCTCTCTCCGCGCCCCCCTCTCCTCTCTCCCCTCTCTCGCGCCCCCCCTCTCCTCTCTCCCCTCTCTCTCCGCGCCCCCCTCTCCTCTCTCCCCTCCTCTCTCTCTCTCCGTGCCCCCCTCTCCTCTCTCCCCTCTCTCTCCGTGCCCCCCTCTCCTCTCTCCCCTCTCTCTCCGCGCCCCCCTCTCCTCTCTCCCCTCTCTCTCCGCGCCCCCCTCTCCTCTCTCCCCTCTCTCTCCGCGCCCCCTCTCCTCTCTCCCCTCTCTCTCCGCGCCCCCCTCTCCTCTCTCCCCTCTCTCTCTCCCGCGCCCCCCTCTTCCTCTCTCCCCTCTCTCTCCATGCCCCCCTCTCCTCTCTCCCCTCTCTCTCCGTGCCCCCCTCTCCTCTCTCCCCTCTCTCTCCGCGCCCCCCTCTCCTCTCTCCCCTTTCTCTCCGCGCCCCCCTCTTCTCTTTCCCCTCTCTCTCCGTGCCCCCCTCTCCTCCTCTCTCCCCTCTCTCTCCGCGCCCCCCTCTCCTCTCTCCCCTCTCTCTCCGTGCCCCCCTCTCCTCTCTCCCCTCTCTCTCCGCGCCCCCCTCTCCTCTCTCCCCTCTCTCTCCGCGCCCCCCTCTCCTCTTTCCCTACGCCCCCCCCCTCGACGCGTTCTCACTTTTGCCAACAGGGAGAGCCCGGAGTGCCGGGATTCAAGGGCGAGAGCGGTGCCAAGGGAGTGCCGGTGAGTTGGCGTGCGCCGCGTCTTGAGCGCGACCGCGCACGGAGGCGTTCGTGAGAGAGAGAGAGAGGGAAGGTCGTGGTTGGAGAGGGGACGGAGGGAAGCGTTGAGCCTGGACTAGAACAGGTGTGGCTGGCAGGGAGTCGAGAGCATGGACAGCTGGGGGAAGGGGACGAGCATCTTCCATGAGCCTCAAGAGCAGAGAGTGCGTGGGGGCAAGCGGCGTGGCGCGAGTGGGGAGAGGCGGGCTCCTGTGTGATTTGTTCGTCTCGTGAAGAAACCATAAATTACGATAATAGAATCAGTTGTCCATCGAGGGCCGCCCCCCCCCCCCCCAAGCCGCAAGACTCCCCTGTCAGGAGGGTGGTCACGATCCTTTTTGCAGGAGCGTTTTGCTCGTGGGAGGAAACTGTGGAGATTGGCTAAAACTCAGACTCAGAGGTCCGCACGGACGGGGTTCATGAACCTGCCCTCTCACCATCCCCTTGGCAGCAGGCCACCAGGTTTGAGAGTTTTACGCAAAATCCGCGTGCTCCAACAACTCTAGCCCGGAACGCAGGCACGGGCTGCCACCTTACCGCCCGGCTCACACGGACATCACCGCCGCGTCCGACACCGCAGATGGCTACCGCCGCGTCTCACACTGCCGATGGTGACCCGGGGCCCCCCCGCCGCGTCCTCACCGCGTGTGTCGCTCTCCCCGTGTCGTTGCGCGCGTCTCCCGTGACCAGGGAGCATCGGGGCCCGCGGGTCCCTCCGGCCCAAGCGGAGAGGAAGGCAAGAACGGTGCTCGTGGCGAGCCTGGCGCCTCCGGACCAGCTGGCGCCGCCGGCGAGACGGTGAGTGGGGGGTCTCCCGCTCGCTTTCATGAAATCGATTTAATTTTTTTTCTTTTCGATTATTATATTCCATCACCCCCCCCCCCCCCACAATTTTATCCCAATTCTGTTATTGCCGCCGCGTGCGTCGACAAGGCAAAGAATCCGTTCGCAGCCATCCCAGGGCCGTTCGCGTTGGAGAATGGCCCACAGAGGCAGACATCGCAGAACTTATTCTGAGACCTCAGGTCCACCAGCCGTGCTGTCGCAGGGGGAGCATTTGTTGCCCAAGGGTGAAACCAATAAATGTTTTTTCTTCCCTTTTCAGAGCTGGGATTTAGCCAAATTAAGTTGAGGACAAAATCTCACGTGATGTTTGTTTGTCCAGACATTGGTGATGGGGGCCAGGGCCTCCGGTGTGACGAATTGATGGTCTCAAGGCAGCCGCCCATGACTGGATCTTAATTGATTTTGACGACATTCCAGCTGTAAAACAAAAATGTCAAAAAAAAAAAATCTAAATCAGTTTGATTGGCACGCAACGATCACTCCGTGCAGGGATATCAGAGGTGTGCCCCTCGTGTGGATAACGAGGTCTATTGAAGTGGCTCCGCCATCACTCGTGACACCAATAGCACACGTAAAATCATCATCATCACCATCATCATGACAAAAATCCCATGTTCCATCCACTGTTGGATAAAGTTCGGCCTCCCCCCCATGCCCACACGGTCTTGCAAGATGACCCGCAAACCAAAATTTCACTCCTGCGCGGGAGCTAATCTCGTACCCGGGCGCGCGATCCTTCCCCTTGCTGCTGTTCCATCGCCATCCTCGCCCGTCGGCGATTTGTCGGTGCTGGGGGGGATCGTTGGAATCCCTCCCTGCCCGCGCCCACTTTTGCTTTTTGTCCACGGCCGTCGAGCCCGTTTTCGGGAAACAACGCAGCTGGGGAAAAGCGGGGGAAGCTGCGCCGACACGGTTTTTGTAACGACGCGCGGCGCTGTTTTTGTTGTGACCCCCCCCCCCCCCCCCACAGGGAGCTCCGGGCGGTCGTGGAATGCCAGGACCTGGCGGCAACGCCGGATCGATCGTGAGTAGCCGGTGACGCCGCGGGAAAGATGACGGCGACGAAGCTCGCGCCAGCGCCCGACGCGGGGGGGTGGGGGTGGCTCTTGCGCTCGCCGCGGACGCGTCAAACAAAATGAGCAGCGGCTTCGCAATTTACACAGACGGCCGTAACGCAGATGATGTGAAAATGGCAGGCGGTTATTGCTATTGCGTGCGGTTAGTCTAACGATGGGGGCCGAACAAGACGGGACAAAGCAGGACTGACGAGTCAGTTACGGACGAAAAAAAAAACAAACATTGGTTTTTCAATCGAACTGCGACTGTGCACCGTGAGAATCGAGCGGATTGCCGGAGGGCGGGTGAATGGTCACGAGGATCGTGACCGCCCGCGCGTTCAATCCGGCGACGCCAGGGAAGCAGTCCCAACCCGGGCATCTCCGCCACGGCCAGTGCGGGCACCCCCCAAGCGTGACGTTGCCACCGCTCTCACTCCGGGACGGCGCACCGAGCGGGGCGCGGGGAGAGATGAGAGAGGGCGGAGCGGGGCACGGGGAGATAAGGGTGCGGGGAGAGAGGGTTAGGGTGGAGAGGCGATGGTGCTGCGTTGCGTGCCAGCGCTCGGCCAGCGTGCCGTGCGCCGTTCGTGACTCGTAGGGCCTTCAGGGCAAGCCCAGTGAGCGCGGCGCGTGTCACGTGTCTGTGTAGGGAATGCCCGGCGAGCGTGGAGCGGCCGGCCCTGCTGGAGCCAAGGGACCTGAAGGAGGACCTGGACGCCCAGGAGACTCCGGAATTCCTGGAGCCAGGGTGAGTTGCCGTCTGCGGCCACCTCCGTCCGCGTCGCGAAGGGCTAGAAGGATGGGCGTTCATTGGGCACTTGCTCCGATACCACAGTAACGTGGATTGAGATTGTTTCGGTTATTTTGGTGCTATAAATGTCCCAATGGTGGGCCACTTTGTGGTCAGGTGACTTCTGAAAATTAAGTGAATATCTCAGTGGGCTTTGCCTGGTAGGATGGGGGTGGTTTAGTGTTGTGTCTGTTTGTGTTTGGGTGAATTGTTGACCTTTCTTGTACTTATCACTCCTATTGTTTCTTTTTTACTGTTTGCTGTCGTAACGTCCTTACCCCGTGCCCCTACCGGACATCTGTTGAAAAAAGAGCTTTACGGCTCATCGGATTCCTCCATTTAGAAATAAATTTTCTGATTCTGAAATTCACCCGACATCACATCTCACGTAGTCCATGCCTGCAGTCTACCCAGCAGCAGCAACTGTCCCTGGTCCCAGTTCGAGGTCTACGGGCATCCGTCTGCCAGTTGGGGGCGATAAACCTTTGACAACCCCTTGAGAATGTGGAGCCTCGGTGTGTGTCTCCACCACTTGAAAGAGGAAGCGACCAGAGAGAAGTCATGGGGCTACTTTAAAATGCTTCGCCGTTGTCAGCGACGGGACGCATTGACGTACGGTGACCGAAAGTAGAACGGGACCGACCTTAGTAGTGGCTTTTTGAGATTCGATTGTTTGGTTGCTACTGCTGTACAAAATGCCCACGTGATGATGATAAGCCACTTCGTTGAGCTATCATCTGTGATAGCCAGGTCGTCTCTGAAAAAAATAGCTACACAGCTCAGTTGAGCCTTACCTGGTGAAATGGAAATCGTTCAGTCTCATATTTCAAGACCACTTGCAGTACTGTTATTGACACTGAGCGTGTTGCGTTGTTTTTTTGTTGGAAATTGTGCTTTTGTGCACCACTGCCAACGCAGCAGCAGCAGTAGCATCTCCAGATAATTAGTTTACTCTTTGCGTGTTTAGTTTGTTGTCCTTCCCCCGCACCTCCAATTAGCACGGTTGGCCACGTAAGGTGCGAAAGAAGTTCAAAGCACGTACACACACCGCACCTCCAATTAGCAGGGCCACGATGCTTCTTCTCCGCGTGCATTGTACGTACGTGCACGTTGAACCTCTTTCGTGCCGTACCTAGCCAACCGTGGCGATCGGAGGTTCAATACAAAGATACAAGATGCAGCCATCGTGACGACGAGCGGGGGATCGAGCGGCTTGGCCGTCGTGGCGGTCACGTCGCCGTCGATCCGTGTTTGACAGATGAAAAAAGAAAAAAAAAGAAAACAAACCAGTCTTGATTAGAAGCTTTCGTGACTGCAGAAATCCATAGTCTTTGGTTGTTTCGGTAAAGCCACGTAGGTACAAAAAATCTCGACTGATGACGGATGCTTGTGTTGCGTCCGAAACGTCGTGGTTTATTTTATTTTCCACCTACGTGGCTTCACCGAAAGAACTAAAGACTTTAAAGGAACCGGCTCAGCTCTCTGTCCTCGCGTTCAGCAATGCCCTCGAGCTAAGCACGGCCCGTCGCTTCGGAATCCCGCGAGAGTCGACCGACGCGTGGTCGTGTCGCACGCTCGGTGCGGGGGGAGCCGTGGCAGGAACCACGTGGCAGGAACCACGTGCCACGGCTCACGACACGCTGTGTCTCGACGGTCCGTGGCAGCGGCGCGGTGAATTTTGGCGTGGCCGTGACACCGCGCGTTGTGACTTTGTCCGTTCAGGGTTCCACTGGGAGTCCCGGAGCAGCTGGTTCCGAGGGAAAGCCTGGCGTCTCTGTGAGTGGACCTGTCTATCCTTCTCTCTCTTGCACTCTCATCCCACCACCACCACTCACTCTTATTCTCCCACCACCACTCACATCTCACCACCACCACTCACATCTCACCACCACCACTCTCACCCCACCACCCACATCCCACCATCACCACTCACACCCCCCCCCCACCACTCACATCCCACCACCCCCACTCACACCCCACCACCACTCTCATCCCCCCCCACCACCACTCACATCCCCCCACCACCACCACTCACATCCCACCACCACCACTCACATCCCACTACCACCACTCACATCCCCCCACCACACTCTCATCCCCCCCACCACCACTCACATCCCCCCACCACCACCACTCACATCCCACCACCACCACTCTCATCCCCCCACCACCACCACTCACATCCCCCCACCACCACCACTCACATCCCATCACCACCACTCACATCCCACTACCACCGGCCCTTATCCCCTCCCGTGACGCCTACCGCCCCAAGCGAACGCGACGTCTCGACCTTGCTCCCCAATCTCAATGGCCTCGTTCCGTCCGTCAGCATGATCGCGAGCGTGCACCTTCTGCGCGCGGAGGGCTTGCGAGCTGACGACGAGCTCCTAACAGTCTGCCCCCCAATTCCGAACTAAAAACGCCCCCCTCTCCCCCGCGTAACTGCCCCCTTCAAATTGTTCGCCGTCTTCATAACGGAGATTCATTCTCCGCGCGGGCTCCATTGTAACGAGGTGCCCTCGTCCTCGTGTGTGTCTCTTAACCCCCCCCCCACCACCCTCCCCCCGACAGGGCCCCGTGGGAGGAGATGGTCGTCCTGGCCCCCCAGGCCCCTCTGGAGTTCGTGGTCTTCCCGGCCCCAACGGATTCCCAGGGCCCGCAGGAGGCGCTGTACGTACCCACGCACCACCACCGCCTCCACCGCCGCCCTGTCCGTCTGGAACGTTGTCTCCACGCTTAGTCCCCCCGTGAGCTGTGTCCGTCTGGAACGTTGTCACCACGCTTAGTCCCCCCATGAGCCGTGTCCGTCTGGAACGTTGTCTCTACGCTTAGTCCCCCCGTGAGCTGTGTCCGTCTGGAACGTTGTCTCCACGCTTAGTCCCCCCGTGAGCCGTGTCCGTCTGGAACGTTGTCTCTACGCTTAGTCTCCCCGTGAGCTGTGTCCGTCTGGAACGTTGTCACCACGCTTAGTCCCCCCATGAGCCGTGTCCGTCTGGAACGTTGTCTCCACGCTTAGTCCCCCCGTGAGCCGTGTCCGTCTGGAACGTTGTCTCCACGCTTTAATCCCTCTCGTGAGTTCCGAGTTGCTCGCCCTGTCACGCGTGTTGGCCAGACCTTCACAAGCAACGTGTGTGTGTATATTTATATATATATATTCAGGGGCGCCGCGTTGGCGAGATGTTAACTACCTCGCCTGGTATACAGGAGGTCGCGGGCTCGATCCCGACCCTGACGCCTGTTGCATGTTTGCAGTTTGCGTGTCTCTCTCTCTCCGGTTCTGAGAGTTGCGGTCGTGAGAGTTTGGTGAGACGATACGTTGGATAACCGCTGAATTCGCTCCGATTGTTGCACTCAGGGCGAGGCTGGCAAGCCCGGCGACAGGGGTCCTTCCGGTTCCGCAGGGCCACGTGTAAGTAGCCAGCGGCATCACGCGGCACTCACGCCAGCGCTCACACTGACCTCCAGCGACAGCAATAACTCCAACGCCGGCACCCAAATCTCTACTCTCCTCCACACACTCTCCTGCATCTCCCCTCTCATCTCACTCTACACCCTCCACTCACTCTCCTGCCTCTCCCCTCTCATCTCACTCTATTCCCCTCCACGCACTCTCCTACCTCTCCCCTCTCATCTCACTCTACACCCTCCACGCACTCTCCTGACTCTCCCCTCTCATCTCACTCTATTCCCCTCCACGCACTCTCCTACCTCTCCCCACTCATCTCACTACACTCCCCTCCACACACTTTCCTGCCTCTCTCCACCCATCTCACTCTCTTCCCCTCTGCGCGCTCTCTGCTGCAGCAACCAATGCCGTGCAGGTGCGTGGTGCTCACCCGCGCGCGTGTTGTCTGTCCGTAGGGGGCTCCTGGCAAGGATGGTGAGGGCGGCCCCGCTGGTCTGGCAGGTCCCGTGGTGAGTTGGCGCTCACTCACCGCGCCCTCAAACCTCCGCACTGATGGAAATCCGTGGGCCGTCCCACTCCTCTCGCTCAGCCACCTTGCAGCCATCCGGCATTCTCCGGCAGTTCTCTGCCTTCCGCGCGACCGAACCGAAAACAAAAAACACTCAATTTGGATAGCACGGAGCAATCAACCGCTCCGTCGCTGTCAACCTACTTGTCAGTGCCATACCTTATCCAAGACCAATTCAAACCCGTATTGGTCACCCGCGTGCCCTGACAAATCTGAACGTTCATTCTACAGAGTCCATCACGAGGGAGAAACACAAATAGACAATCACCACTACGACACTCACCACTAGTACACTCACCACTACACTCACCACTACTACACTCACCACTGCACTCACCACTACACTCACCACTACACTCACCACTACTACACTCTCCACTAGTACACTAACCACTACACTCACCACTACACTCACCACTACACTCACCACTAGTACACTTACCACTACACTGACCACTAGTACACTTACCACTACACTCACCACTAGTACACTTACCACCACTCACCACTAGTACACTCACCACTAGTACACTTACCACTACACTCACCACTAGTACACTTACCACTACACTGACCACTAGTACACTCACCGCTAGAACATTCACCACTAGGACACTCACCACTACATACCTGTCAACCCCTTACCAGTGTCCTACCTTATCACAGACCAATTCAGACCTTATTGATCACCCCGTGCCCCTTATCAATCTCAACGTTCATCCTACAAAGTCCCATCATAAGGAAGAAACACAAACAAGTAGAATAGTTTTGTTGCCCGAATTGAAACGGCTGTGGGCCGCATATGGACCTTAACACTAAATTTCCCCGTGCAAGAGTACGGGTTAAACCGTGATGGCTTGACACGGTTTGCCCCTGTGCCGGGCACAGGGTCAGCCACCACTTGGGGGGGTGGGGGACTGTGCCCACGTCAACGAGACGTGACGCGCCGCTCGTAGGGCGCCGTAACAAAACAAAAAACACGAATCGTTCCTCCGTTCGTAGCCAATGAGGCCAAATGTATTCCTGACGATTATCGACCCTCGGCTCTGCATACGCGCGCCGAGTCTGTGCAATCTGCCGGTGCCGCTGGCCGTGTGAGTGACCCCCCCACCCCCCTCGTGTTCTGTCACAGGGCCCCGTGGGTTCTCGTGGTGAGCGTGGCGCTGCTGGTCTCCCTGGAGCACAGGTAAGAGGGGTGGGGGGCTGAGAGCCGTCGTCGTCATTACACCCACGTCATTGTTTCTACTGTCAACGGGTCATCATAGTCACAACATTATCGCCACCACCACCACCACATCGCTATCACCTCCTTCTCATCGTCATCGTCGTCATTATTTAACCATTATCACCACTTGGTCATCAAAACATCAGAACCATCACCTTCTCACCACTGACGTTACGTATCTATTATCACCACCACCACCATCACCAACTCGCAATCACACCACACCATCACCAGAACGACCAAACCGGCATCATAATCACCATTGCCCATCCTTCACTCCCCACAACAAACCACGATCACCTATGCAAAACTACCACAACCACCAGTCGCACCTCCGCCAATCACTGGCCACGGCCGGAGGAGCTAACGGCGTGGCGCAACCGGACCCCCCCCTGTCCCCCCGCAGGGCCTTCCCGGACCCTCAGGGGCGAATGGAGAGCTGGGTCGCGCCGGCAGCATGGTGAGTGAGTGAGAGAGTCACGTGGCCACTGCACGAAGGGATCTCGACGAGAGGGAGGCCCGTATTGAAGGGGCCGATCGTAACCTCGAGCACGCTGATGTCGCAGGGTCCTTTGGCGTAGCCGTGCGCCTCGTGTGTGCGTGCGCACGTGGCCGCTGTTGGGAGCGAGAGCGAGTCGTCGAGTCGTGTCGCAGTTGACGACAAAGAGAGGGATCCGCGCAGTGGAGCCAAAGGAAAACAACGCAGGAGCACTGCGCAAAACTTTTATTTTGTTATTTAATGATGGACGCCCCCGCGTGTCCTTGATAACGGCGTCATTTGCGTGTCGACACGCGCCATGGCTTCCATTACCGGCACTCAGCGCGAGTCGAATCGCGCCAGGTTTGGCGAGGTGTGCATCCCGGCCCATCTGCGTGTGCTCAACACCGCCTTGCCCGCACCTCCCACAAGCACGGTTGGCTACGTGCGGTGCGAAAGAAGTTCAACATACACACTACGTGTAAATGCTAGGCCGCTCGCTGAAATGCAGTTGTAAAAAAAAAAAATCCTGAAATTGCTACGATGAGAATCGGGCCCACGCAAGTAACGTATAGACGTTGTGTAGTTCGCGGGCTGTTATTGATATCGAGCGTAGCTTGAGTCAGGCTCCCGAAGGCTGTGAACGTATGATGACAATGATGTCGATGGGGGTGAACGTTGCTTGATTTATCGCTGGCGGTCGTGAACGTTTACCTTGATTTTCTCCTCCACAGGGAAGTCCTGGTGATAGGGGTGGTCCTGGACCTGCTGGTGCCCGGGTAAGTGCCGCAATGGAAATTCACGCGGGCTATTGCCGTCGCGGATCGGCACGTCTCGCCGGCATCAGGGGGGTTGTCGTCCGCGTGGTTCCAGGATTCACGTGACAAGTATCTTGTTCGTGACAAATGAAACTCGACCGTGTCCGTCCGGTGCTCGCCGAGCGGCATTGGCTTCCGGTTGCCGAACGAACACATGATGAGGTCGTGCTCATTGCACACAAAGTGCCTGCCATGAATGAACCACGATTACTTTGCTGATCTCCTTGAGGAGCATGAACCATCATCACGCGACCTCCGGTCATCCTCACGGTGGTCACCGCATCGCGCGATTTCAGATGCACTTCTGTGGCCGTCTGGAACGCTCTTCCCATGTTTGGAAGCCACTGGAGCGATGCATTTTTAAATCATCTGGATTGAAAGCTCATTTATTTAGAACTGCGTTTTGTGTTCAGTTTGTTGTACTTCTCCCGCACCTCCGATTAGCACAGTTGAATACGTACGGTGCAAAAGAAGTTCAACATAAATACATACGTCCAGTCCTTTCTCTCCACCGTGGAATACACGAACGGCCCGGAGTGTAGAAATGATAACTTACAGACGTGTATATGTTCTTGTTGTGCTCATGGCCGGTGTTGTGTTTGTGTGGGACAGGGAGAGGCCGGAATCCCCGGGGAGCGTGGAGCCCCAGGCCCCGCTGGCGCCGCAGGCCCCAGAGGAGAGGCTGGACCTGCGGGGACGGACGGAGGAAAGGTACAGACACCCCGGTGTCCACTCTCGGTCACTCGCCCCACACGGCACCGAGGTGCCATGGGACAGACGTGCCGTGTCCACTCAGCCATGCGCCGTTTGCTAAAGGACAGGCTAAGTCATGCCCACCATTCACTCACCCATGTGGCAGGAAACTAAAGGGACGGCCTTGGCGTAGTTTAAATGAATCTATCCACAGCTACCCGGATGATAATAGTATATCCAAAGATATGATCGTGTCGAGTATGCACGCTCGTCCGTCAGTGTCGTTATCTCATCGTCAATGGCATTGTTTAATTTGGAAAGGTTGGCCTGCCGAACGCGGTGTCTGCCGACTGCAACGTCGATAATAAGGACGCTTGCGTCGGTGTGTGAGCGTACGAGCCCGTGCTTGCGTGCGTCGAAAAGGCATGCCCTGCAAGAACGCTTTAAGAGACCCAAAGACATCCCAAGCGATGCTCGGTTTATGATCATCAGGCTCTGCGTCCCACGCTCTAATTCCGTTAGCGTGGATCTCGCCAAAGGTTTGTATGTGTTTTGCGTGCGTGCGTTCATGGGGGTTGCCACGTTCCGCGAAACGTGGACGGGATGGCAAGTGTCAATCGCGTCTTCTATAACCGGTGAATGGCTCCCGGCTATGGTCCGGGCCAGCGGTGTTGGCAGCTTGTGACTGACAGCTTCCTTGTGTCGGCAGGGTGAGGCTGGCCCTGCAGGCCCAGCCGGAGGAGCTGGCAGCCCGGGCATGATGGGACTCCCTGGTGACCGAGGGTCGGGTGGAACTCCCGGAGAGAAAGGAGAAAAGGTCGGTGGGAACGCAGAAAACGAACTGGACAGATCAACAGCGGTTAACGTGGATATTGAAACGAAATATAGCTTAGGGTAGAACAGGGTTGGTGTGGAGGGTTAGGCCGAGAAAACGTGGGAGGGATGAGTGAGGGGAGACTCCGTGGCACGGCCCAGGAAGAAGTAACTGGGGCCCAGCACTAACAACAACCACCTACAACAACAACCACCACAACCACGACAACAACCACCGCAAAAATAGGAATGGCAGAGAGCCCCACAGGGGACAACCGGGGGACAGCCAGGGCAACACTAAAACTATTCAATAATTTCCTTCAATCCAATCAATGCTTACCTGAGGGTGAAAGGATTTTGTGACAATTTGGTGGGGGTGGGGAGGGTTTGCCAATATGGGAAGCAGTTCCCGTGTTTATTCGAAATCATTTGTTGGGGTGAAAGCAAAACAGTTTTGTTGCGTTTCTATTTTCTCCATCCGCCCCGAGGGTATTGTTACCCTGGCAACGAAGTTGTCGTAACTCGTCAATGTGGCAGTGTTGCTAGTTTCGGCCTAATCAAGGCTTGTTGGCCAAAACATCACCGCATGCTTTTCTTAATTCCTCAACGTGTTCATAATTTATTGCATGTTGTTTTTGTTGCTTGAGACTCGTGGAAACAATTGTTGCGAATGCAGTGTTGATGGAATTGACATGGAGTGCTTCGGTTGCATTGAAAGGAGTAGTTTTTGCAACGGTTTGTTTTTGTGTTTCGTTGGCAGGGCGACGGTGGTCCAGCAGGAAGTGCAGGCAACCCTGGGAGGGATGGCCCTCGCGTGAGTCCTCGCCCAACCGCCATCACGTGACTGATCGCAGCCTTGCGATTGGTCCGTGAAGGTCACACGCCTTCACCGGATTATTAGCCAATCACGTGGCTGCGTGGCACACTTGAATATCTCAATGCCTCGTGTAATATACAAATATATACATATTACTATACACATTCTTTACTTTTTAAGGGTGTTTATCAAACGTGGACTCGTGACAACGGATAGTGGCGAGATGTGAACTACCTCGTCTGGTATACAGGAGGTCGTGGATTCGATCCCGACTCTGAAGCCTGTATTTTTGGAGTTTGCATGTTCTCCCCGTTGTTTAGAATCAACACGCGTTTAGAGTATTTGGCAGCTATAAATTTCCACATGATGATAAGCCACTTTGATGAGCTTTTATTCGTAGCCAGGTCACTTCTGAAAAAGAGCTACATAGCTCAGTGGGCCTTACCTGGTAAAATAACAAGTTGAGTTTATTGTTTTAGTTCATATATACACACACACATATATAAATATATGCACACACATATATATTTCAAGAAATTGTAGTTGTAAGGTGTAAATATCGCGTAAGGTCTTGTACCAAGCTTGAAGTGATGGCCCTGAAGTCAACGCTGAGCTGAGTTGACATTTGCACCGCTGTCACTGTCCTGATGTTGTGTCCGTGTTTGTTCATCAACAGGGTCCAGATGGTCCCGTTGGTCCCCCAGGTCCCCTGGGTCCCGGTGGAGAGAGAGTAAGAATGATCATATTCTGCTCCAAACACACGCACCCACTCTGCATTTCAACACACGCGATACTGACAAAAATGGTCCCAATTTTTGTTCAACTCAAGCTATTAATACTTTGATGCTTGCATTGCCTTTGTACTGTTCGCCTCTTGGCGGTTTCTCTGGTCGTCTCACGCTGGGGGTGAGACAAAGCCGTGAAAAAGGCTGTCTTTGGTGTAGCCGTGCGATGCGTGGCGATGCAGCCCAAACTATGAACCGTATAGTAAGCCCATTGAGCCACATAGAGATACATAGATACCCATAGACATACACAGATACCCACAGAGACATATAGCGACCAATATAGATCCATAGCGAAACATTAAAGTACAAGCCACAGCAGTGCGACTGTGGCCATGCAACTCAAACTACGGACCGCAAAGTAAAACGACTGTGGCCATGCGCTCAATCAACGGAGGAGGAGAAGGGACGGTGACACGAACCCTCTCTCTGCTGAAGCCCTCTCGGCCCGGCCAGCAGCAGCAGACGTCCACATTGGCATCGGGCCCCCTGAGCAGATGACCGCTGGCCATCGTGCGCGAGAATCGAATGGGAATGGGGGAAATCCCTCTCCGATGCGCGCCGCCGCGCGTCCTTCGGCAACAACGTCCGACGGTTGCGCTGCGCGTGCCGGACCTTCTTGAGGGCGCGCACGACGACTGCCCGGCGCAAGCCCCAAATAGACATCGGAGCGCTGAGCCCCCCCCCCACCCCCCCCACCTCGGGTGACGTCGGAGCGACGTGCGATGACGCGCGGCTCCCGTCGGGTTATTGACGCCGCGCTCCGGCATTGATGTTGTTGTTGTTGTCTCTCTCCCCGTCTCTCTCTCCTCCCCGGCAGGGTGAAGCTGGTCCCTCCGGCCCTGCTGGGCCCGCAGGTCTCCAGGGACCCCCTGTGAGTAGACGGCGCTGCACCGGCACGCCCCACCATGCGCGCCACACCGGCACGCCCCACCGGCACGCCCCACCATGCGCGCCACACCGGCACGCCCCACCACGCGCGCCACAACGGTGGCAGCGCGATGTGGCGTCTGATAGACAAATACACTACTACGTAGACAAATACACACCACCGATAGACATGCACCGCTACATAGACAAATACACACCACCGATAGACATACACCACTACTTAGACAAATACGCACCACTGATAGACAAATTATGATGAGTGGCCGACTATATGGATGAGCGGATTAATCTGTGGGTGAGCGGGTGAATCTGTGGATGGCTCTGTGAATGAGTGTGTGAATCTGTGGGTGAGCGGGTGAATCTGTGGATGACTCTGTGAATGAGTGTGTGAATCTGTGGGTGAGCGGGTGAATCTGTGGATGACTCTGTGAATTAGTGTGTGAATCTGTGGGTGAGCGGGTGAATCTGTGGATGGCTCTGTGAATGAGTGTGTGAATCCGTGGGTGAGCGGGTGAATCTGTGGATGACTCTGTGAATGAGTGGGTGAATATGTGGATGACTCTGTGAATGAGTGGGTGAATATTTGCTTGAAGAGGATAACCCCAGCTGTGGGGCTGACTGTAGATGAGTGGGTAAATCTCTGGATAAATTGAGTGACTCTCTGGGTGGGTGGGCGAATCTGTGGATGGGTGAGTGACCCTGTGGATTAGTGGATGACGGTCGTGGGTGACGCAATGTCTGGCTGACTGGTGCCTTATCTGCTGGCAGGGTGAGCGTGGATCCAACGGTGCTTCTGGTGGTCCTGGATTCCCCGGACCCCCGGTGAGTACCCCTTTGTTTGAGCCACTCCTACCGAAAAGACGATTTTTTCTTTTTCTTCTTCTTCTCCTTCTATGCGCGATGAATAATTCACGTCAGTGCGGTGAATTATCCTTGGCTATTCGAGAGTCAACCGAGGCAATGAGACTCATTTGCTGGAATATTTCGCAATTGTTAACTTTTTTTTTATTAACGAAAGCTGCGCCGCTACGTCAACACGCCCCGAGCTCCACAGGTTTCGGCAACCTTCACGGTCAACATGCCACAACAAAATTTAATGTCGGCTTTTTTTTTTGTTACGGAATACTTCATTAGTTTGGCACGCACAATAAATGGAACGCACCTTCACCACCGTCCCAGCGCGAAGAAAAAAGAAAAAGGCCACCGGGCGACTCGCTATGCCCGATCGACAAGGCCCTTGCCCCTGTGGTGCTGCCCTCTGACGCTGACGCTCCTGCTGCTGCTCCGTGTCGCTTCCCAGGGTAGCGACGGGCAGCCCGGCACCCGTGGCGAGCGTGGTGAGGCTGGCGGCAAGGGCGAGGGTGGCGCCGCAGGTCCTCCCGGCCCCTATGGGCCTGCTGGTCCCCCGGTGAGTCGTCGCTGCCCTTCGTCATTCCCGCACACTACAGATAAAGATCTCCCCCCTCCGGTAGAGCCTCAACAGACAGTTGGGGCAAGTGCTAAGCGCGAGCACAACAACAACAAGAACAGCCGCCATTCGCCACTGAGTGGCGGTGGCATTACCACGGCGCTTGTGCCAGGCTAGGTGCACTTTGAAGCTACCACGTGAAGTGTCAAAGGCTCGCTGACAGGAGGTCACGGGACTGACCCAGCAGGTGCCATGGGTTGACTAAGACGACTGGTAGATGCGCCACCTCTGCTCCCTACTGTACCAAATTGCTGAATTTTAGCGTCCGGCGCTCTGCTCATTGTTGTGAGCGTTGCTCCTCTGCACTCCGTTGTTGTTGGAGGGTGACCGCCCAGTAGCGTCCTTAACGAGCCTCCTCCATAGCCTCCTCCATGAGCGAGCACACACACGCACGCACGCACGCTCCCACGCACACGCTCGTTCTATTCCCGTGCGTTGCACGTGTCCTCGCGTGTCCGAACGTGAATCGAGTTCAGAATTTGTGCTCATGCGTCCGTGTATTTTTGTTTTCTCTTCGCCAGGGCCCTGCTGGTCTGGTCGGTGGAAAGGGAGGGATTGGACCCGCCGGCTCAGCCGTAAGTGCCGGATCGTTGTCGCCGTGTCTTTTTTTCTTATTCGCGCTACGCGTCCGTGCCCGCGGCAGGAGCAAATCTCTGGCCACCCCACGGTGGTGCCGTGGGCGCGATCGGGGCTGGGGTTGGGGGGAGAGCCGTCCGCGGTTGCTGAACGGACGTCGGAGGGTGACGCACGGACGTCGCCTAACCAGGGGGAAAGGCCTAAAGAGCCAGGCTGGATATTCTTGGTTCTTTCGGTAAAGTCACGTAGAAGGGAAATAATAAAAATAAAACATAATAAGTTAATTCTCACGACGTTTCGGCCACAACGCAAGCAGCCGTCCTCAGGTGGAGAACAGGTCTGTCGGAAAGACAGCGTCTGACCTGTTCTTCACCTGAGGACGGCTGCTTGCGTTGTGGCCAAAACGTCGTGAGAATTATTTGATTATGTTTTATTATTATTATTTTATTATTTCCCTTCTACGTGACTTTGCCGAAAGCACCAAGAGGATGAAATTTAGCCCGGCTGGAGTTGACGTAGTAAGGAGCGTCGTTTGACGAGTGACGCGTCGCCCGACCTGATGATGGCTGGGGAACGGCGCGGAGCGATGGCCCCCCCCCCCCCTACAATCGGGACGGTTTGGAGGTTTTGTTACTCTCCGGGCGGGGGGGGGGGGGGGGTTGCCGTGGTGATGTCGGCTGCCGCGACCGCGACGGTCGTGCCCGACGCCGGCGTTTGACAAAATCCTCTTCCCGTTTCTGCAGGGCCCCGTTGGATTCCCCGGTGCTTCTGGAGCCCCTGGTGGACCCGGACCCGCTGTGAGTGTCTCCACGCACGCGCTCCTTGGTGTTTGCTGTGCTCATTTTGTCTGTCTGTATTCTATCTATGCATTGCCGGAAAGGGTAAAACCTCGTAATAGGTTTTTACTCTTTCAACTGGTACTAATCAACTTCAAGGACAGTGCATATCATTATCATCATCAGACTTGTTTCTTTTTGTTTGCATTTTGACTGCTTGTATTGTGGTTATTGCAAACATGATGCCTTGTATAAAGGTGTCAGTTTTTGTACTATATTTTGCCACTGGTAAAGGAGGTCTCATAGGGTTAAACCTATTCTCATTTTTCATGCTTACTGGCCAAAAAAGGTCCCACGCTTTTACACCACTGCTAGTGCAGTGTCACGTAAGGCGACGGTGACGGTGATAATGACGCTGCTGCCGCTGCCGCTGCACCCACAGGCCCCCCCGGCAAGCGGCGAGTGCCCGCCCACTAGAGAAGGCGCTTGATGGTGCAGACACTGGCCAGCGCATTCCACTTTCTTAACTAATCCACCAGCAACATACACACACACACCGCACCTCCGATTATAATGGCTGGCTGTGTACGGTGCGAAAGAAGTTCAACGTACACGCAAAAAAGACAAAGATCCCCCGTATAGCCTTAACAGACCGTAGGGGCAAGTGCTGTTAGCGAGCACCTATGAAGGCCGGAAAGGTACACGAGGGAGTGGGTGGCCAACACCACGCCCGACCGCCTTTGTCTCCCCAGTGGCGATGTTTACACACCGCACCAGGTACTCATTTGAGGCTGAGTCGACCTAGGGGAGGCCCAGGACCGGTTTAGACAATCGTCACTGGTGTTGGCCATAGTGCAGCGCGTTAATCGCTACACCACCACTCGCCTGCTCCCCCACGCACACAGACACACGGACGCTCGACAGCACCTCTGACCGCCACCCCCCCCTCTCCCCCTTCCCTCCCACAACGCCTCCAGGGCCTCACCGGACCCCCCGGCGGGCCTGGCCCAGCCGGCAAGTCCGGACCCCGCGGCCCACGCGGAGACGGCGGCCCCTCCGGACGCGACGGCTCCACCGGACCCGGCGGGCCCCCGGGCCCACCCGGCGAGCGTGGACCCTCCGGAGCAACCGGCGCCAGCGTGAGTGGCGCAGGCGGCGCGGCGCAAGCGCCGAGAGCGGCACTGATAACACGGCAGTTGCAATGCGCCGCGTTGGGCAATGCGGCGCCGCCTCAACGCAAACGATTACAGCGGCGTGAATCTGCGCAGTGAGGCGCCCTTTCGTCAATCCGCTGCTGGATGAGGGCCCCCCACCCACCCCCCCACCCCCCGCTCCCGCGCAGTCGAGGTCATTTCACCGTACTTCACCGCCCTGGCCGGGGCATGTTAGCGGTGGCGGGGAGAATATATATGGTGGCATAGAGGTACAGCACAACAGCTGAATGTCTTGCTGCCAACAGCATCGCCCCGCCGCCCGTAGCACCTGTAATCCATGGTGGTCGCCCATCCAGGCGCTATCGAGGCTCAATCTAGACTTAGCTTCCCAGACCGAAAGGGCACTTGGCCGTGTGGGAATACACAACATGCAGGAATGCCAACACGGCATGTTGCAACGTAGTACTCGTCAATAGCATAACGGTGCGACGATAAAACAACGACGCGTATCGCAGGCGCGCAGACGCAACAATGCAACGGAGTGCCACGTGACGTGCCGCAACGCGTTGCCGTGCGCGACGGCACGTGGCGACGTCTGACACGTGGAGAGAACCAGTCGTGAGCGAGCGAGCGAACGTTCGGCAAAGGGGGGCTGGAACCCCCCTTAATATTTGGCGAAAACCGAATGGCTCCATAGCAGAGGTGTTTTTGGGTTAGATCGCGTAACTTAAAAAAATAACCTATCATGGATAACATTATATTCTTGGTTCTTTCGTTTCGACTGCAACACAAGCAATCATCATCAGGTGTGAAATCCATGATGATTGCTTGTGTTGCAGATTTGAGATTCCTATATGTTGAATGTATGCACCTTCCTGCCAAAGTAAATTCCTTGTCTGTGCGAACTTTTATGGCGAATAAAACCTTTTCTATTCTTAGGTTTTCTCGGTAAAGTCACATAGGTAAAACATTTAAATTAATAAAAGTATCGTGCTGTGACGGTTCCTCCTGAAGACGGAAGTTTGTGTTGCCTCCGAAACGTCGTGATTTTTATTTTATTTTAATTTTACTTTTATTAATTTTATTTTTTTACCTACGTGACTTTACCGAAAAAACCTAAGAATATGAATCCTTGCAGTTACGAAAGCTTCAAATCTAGATTTAAAACCTTTTCTGATTCTGATTCAAAGCCGCCCCGAAACGCGTTGCCCCCGTGATCGCGCGCTCCGGTACCGTGTGCCGCTCGCCGAACGGCGGCACTTGCCCCAGCGGTCCGTTGAGGCCTACGCGCACGGGTGACCTTTGCCTCTGTTTTCTCCGCTTGCTCCCAGGGCCCAGTCGGCCCCCCTGGACCCCCCGGATTGTCTGGCGGCGGAGGAATGCTGGGAGTGCCGGGGACTCGCGGAGAGAGGGGAGGACCTGGAGGTTCTGGCCCACCTGTAAGGAAACGACCTGACGTCCTCCTGTTACACAAAGCTCCTTGCCTGCTGCGTCGTGTTCACTCCTCCTGTTACACAACGCTTCTTGCCTGCTGCGTCGTTGACGTCCTCCTGTTACACAAAGCTCCCTGCCTGCTGCGTCGTTGACGTCCTCCTGTTACACAAAGCTCCTTGCCTGCTGCGTCGTTGACGTCCTCCTGTTACACGAAGCTCCTTGCCTGCTGCGTCGTTGACGTCCTCCTGTTACACAAAGCTCCTGGCCTGCTGCGTCGTGTTCACTCCTCCGTGACACGAAGCTCCTCGCCTGCTCTGTTGTATTCACTCCTCCGGGAGTGCAAAGCTCCCTGCCTGCTGCGTTGACGTAAAGTTTTATGCGTTTTCGATGTGTCCATCTGTGAGCCCCCTGTGACAAGGGCACTTGACTAAATGATGGTCGCCCCACTGACGATTCCGTGCTGCACACGTCTCTCGCCTTTCCGTCTCACGTCATCTCTCGACTGCCCCTGTGATCCTTGGGCAAGCGACGCAAAGACGCAAAGACGCAAAGACATCGATCGACCGACGAGAATCGATTCCCGTCGTGCTCACGGAAATTGCTCGCGCTCTACGCACGCAAACCACGTGCCGGTGATCCATTTCGGCCGACGCGAGCCGACTTGGAGACTTCTGCCAACTTCAGCCTCATCATCCACCTCTCTCTTCTCCCCCCCCCCCTCCTCACTCCACTCCCCGTCCCCAGGGAGCCATGGGCAGGGATGGCGCTCCTGGCCCCGCTGGCGAGAGGGGACCCGACGGGCCCCCAGGCCCCGCTGGTGCCCCCGGACCCGCCGGTGACAGCGGTCGTGAAGTGAGAATCGAGATGCACACTCTCCACTCGGGGCCGGGCGGCGAGATGTTAGCTACCTCGCCCGGTGTACAGGAGGTCGTGGGTTCGATCCCCGACCCTGACGCCTGCTGTACATTTGGAGTTTGCTAGTTTGTCTCCCCGTGGTCACGTGGATTTTTCTCCGGATCCTCCGTTTTTTTTCCCTCCGCATTTAGAATGAACGTCACGCGTTTAGAGTATTTGGATGCTGCTATACATTTACACGCGATAAGCCACTTCGTTGAGCTATCATTTGTGGCCAGGTCGCTTCTGAAAAATAGCTACATAACTCAGCGGGACTTGTCTGGTAAAATAAAAAATGGTTTAGAACTTAAATAATGGCCGTGTCAGGGACACTGAGCCGGCACGGCTGAATCCCTGGGTTTCGGTTGATCCCCGGTTAAACCGGTAAATGCCGGCTTCCAAAGTGTGCCGAGTCCATGCGCTCAGTCGGCTATCGATGACTGCGCGAAGAGGCCATGTCGCCACGTCGTCTCTGTCGCCAAGGGTAGAATGTCGGCCATAATTTGTGCTCGCGAATCCCAAAGCCTGAGGGTGGATTTTTTTTACCAAGACTCTGAGAAGTTAAGGAAGTTAGGTAAAAACAACCTCTAATTGTACCTTTTTAATGCGGGGCATTTAAAAAAGAAATTACGACCAAAAAAAATACCGACCGGTTGAAATGAAAACTGCGACCGCAGTTTCTCCCCGTCCACCTTTTTGGCGGTTGCACTGCACTCTGGGTAGAATGATGGCTTGCTCCTCCGACATCGCTGGCGATCGCACGGCCCTGAGAGTGGAGCACCTTGAGCCGCCACTCACAGGCGATGACTTCCACGAGATTTGGCGTGAGGGTGGAGAGCAGTGGGTGAGTGTCTGGTGGGTGGGGGGGGTGGGCGGCGGGGTTTATATTAGGAGACCAAAACGTCGTCCTGGAATCGAGCATATCCCTTATCAAAACGACACCCGTTTGCCATCACAACCGGTCACCAGTTCAGTGCCTCGCCTTGACGTTGGCTGAACGTCGCGGGTGCCCAGCCTGTGGTCCCCGTGCTGCCCCCGTGCTGCCCCCGTGCTGCCCGCGTGCTAATTGCCCGTTGTCGATTGCGAGAAGCAGCCTTTGACCTGAAGCGTGCGTGCTGTTGCATTGTCAGGGCAACGCCGGTTCTGATGGAGCCCCAGGCCGTGATGGATACGCAGGAGGCAAGGTAACGAATTCTCTTGCGCTGCTCTGATGCACGTGTGCCACTTTGATGTGCGCGTGCGTGTGTGTTACTGTGGTGTGTGTACGGTGATATGTGTACTATGATGTGCGCGTGCGTGTGTGTTACTGTGGTGTGTGTACGGTGATGTGTGTACTGTGATGTGTGCGTGTTTCACTGTGACGTGTGTCATCACGCGGGTTGTTGCTGTCCGTGGTGCTGCCGCCGCCACCGCTCACCTCCCCGCGCTGCTTCCGTTGTCTCAGGGAGAGAGCGGTGACGCCGGACTTGCCGGTGCCGCGGGAGCGTCGGGCATGATGGGAGCGCCGGGACCCAGCGGACCCGCTGGCAGCACTGGCAACCGCGGAGAAACCGTACGAACACCCACGTGCATCAAAGCGCTCGCGAAACACCGAGAGCACACCTCCCGATTCGCGCGGTTGGCTACGCGCGGCGTGGAAGGATTTGAACCGACGTACAACGTGCATGCGTGCGGACCTTCGGCGCAGCAAGTCGCGAAGCACGCGACGGAGGAATACGCAGCGGCATTATTAGCGAACTCAGAAGTTTTACTTTCCTTTTCACAGACGTCTGCTGCCACCTTGCCAGGAAGTCAAGTGTCGCCGAGTTGCGTCACTGTGTCAGAATCGGAATCTTTAGTTATCCTGGAGAAATCCGATGAGCTATGAAGCTCTTTTTATCACTGACACCCGGTGGCGCCACGACGTAGCTCGGACATTGCGGCATTCGAGCCAAACTAAGGCACCTTCATAGGGTTCTAACGGCTCAGCGGTACTGCCTGAGACTCGCACAGCCAGCGTGAAGCATCGTTAGGATTCTAACGGATACATTTTATTGCCTGAGGACCACTGAGCCAGACTAACGCCCCTTTATGATGACGATGATGATTATTTTGCAGCTATAAATAATGATAATCCACCATCATGTGTGGCCAGGTCGCTTTTGAACATTAAGTTAATACCTCAGTGGGCTTAGGATGGAGATGGTTTAGTTTTATTTGTATGCGTTTGGGTGATCTCTTCACCTTTCTTGTACTTTGCACTCCCATTCGTATTTTTTGCATCGTTTCTTGATGTAACGTTTTTATCCCGTGCCCCAAAACTGGACATTCTGTGACAAAACGGCTCTCACGCCTTGCCCCGTGTCCGTGCGCCCCTCTCTCTGTGCAGGGTCCCGGAGGACCAGGCGGCCCCGCTGGCCCTGCTGGACCCCGAGGCCCCGCGGTAAGTGAACCCCCCCCCCCCCCACACTTTTGTGTCTCTGAGGTCCGGGGGATGGTGGCGGGAGGGCGGAGGGAGGGCTTGAGGGTAAAATAGAAGGCGGATTTTACACTCTATCCGGATTTGCAGGACATGGTAGATTGTCATCGTCGTTGTAATTATCGTGGTCGTCCACCACCGTCGTCGTCGCTTCATTTCATCGATCAAGTTCATCGCCGCGATCGTCTCCCGGCAGTCGCTGCGCCAAAGAGCGTGACGGCTTGCAAGCCCAATCCCACGTCCCGGTCGGGGACCGATTCACACCCCCCCCCCCCCCCCGCCTCTTCGCGGTCGATTAAAACGAGACGCGGTTTTGTAGTCGGTGATTTCGCGGCGGTCATCCCAAAGGAGGGACTCCCCGTGACTGCCGTGGGAGCGCGGTGACGGCTGCCGCCGCCGCCAGCCAGAGACGGCTGCCGTCCCGACGTCCGCTTCTAGCGACTAGGGACGCGCCGGCGCGCTTGCAAAGGCCCGTGGACTCGGCGTCGCGAGCCGCAGGCGGCCCCCGCCGGCGGTGGGACGAAGGGGCTGAGTGACGGAGGCGTTCGCGTGTCACCGTCTCCCTTCAGGGTCCATCTGGCGGCAAGGGAGGCAAGGGAGAGGCTGGTGGCGCTGGAGCGGCCGGAGAGAAGGGATTCCGTGGAGATCCCGGTCCCCAGGGGATGCACGGCGGAATGGTAAGTCCCCCAGGCCGGCTCATTCGCAGGCGCACCCCCCCCCCCCCCCCCACCCAACACCGAGTTGGCAATTGCCCAAATTTTGCAGTCCTATATATATGAAGATGTTTTCAAACCGATTTTACGTATGTAAGTTGAACTTCTTACGCGCCGTACGTAGCCAACCGTGCAAATCGAAGTTGCGAGGGAAGGATAACAAACCAAATAGATTTAGGATAGCGGGGGCACCTGGAGAAAACCCTCGTGTGCGAGGGGGAAACACTCTATCCCATGCAAATGGAAGAGATGGAGATTCGTCTGCAATTTTCTGTGCCGCCTTCTCCTGGCGAGCCAGGGTACGGCACCTCTTCCACAGCTACGGGAATGAAGTTTCACAACAATGATTTGCGGTGACGCGCCAACCCTCGCTGCTGCCCCCACAGCGCTGGGTTCCAGGCGCCAGCCACGTGCAGCGGCGTGTAGCCACCACCACCTCCACCGCCCGTCATGTAAAGCCCAAACTGTCCCTTAACGACTGCCGTGTATGTTCATTGACGCGGAAGTCCAAATCAGGCGCCTTCGCTCAAGGTCGCTCAATACAGTGCACAGAACGGTGACAGGAGACACCGATTCAGATGGCCGAAGGATTGAGGAACGAGTGAGCAGAGATGCCGGGGGCACTGAAGGGCGTGGGGGGAGGGATGCGAGTGAGTGGAGGGAAGAGGAGGAGAATGGGCACTGGGGTGAGAGGTGAGGATTTGAGAGAGGAACGGCGGGGAGGTTAAGGAGACCGAGGCAATGGAGCTCCCAGGGTGGGACCTGCAGGTGTGGTGATCATGATTGACACACACGCGCCACAACCAGGGGGAGGGGTAGAAACCGGTCCGGACCGGTCGGGCCAACGGCGGTTGGAACCCCTCTGAGGGGAGGGGGCTGGCAGGAGCTACGATCCCCCAGAGCCCCGCCCCTCAGGGAGAAAGAGTATATAAGGCGGGTCCCTGAGAGCGTGGGTCAGTCCGTCTCAAGCCGAAGCCAGAAGCCGCCGGAAGAAGAAGAAGATCCTGGACCCCAAACCGCCGACGTCCTTCGGAGGGCCGGGGCTCAGTGCGGTGCCAGTGGTCGTGGGGCTAGGACCCCGAGGTTCCCTCGGCCTGAGGCCCTTTTAAGGGCCAGGTCCGGATGGGCCAGTGGTCAGGGACCCACCGGGCCAGCGGTGGGTCAGCCTCCCCTAAGTCTAGCCAGTAGGGAGAGTCGTAGGTACGATAGCCCAGAGGCTGTACCTCCCCAGGTTGTGGGTGAAAGGGGCCATTACCCCTTTGTGTTAGGGATTAGTGTAAACTGTTGGGTGAAATAAAGCGTGTTGCCTCTACGAAGACTCCGTCTCCCTCCAAGACCATTACACAGGCACCCTGCTTGACCCAAGCGTCGGCTGACGAGTGCCTGGTGTCTGTTGCAGGGTCGCCCTGGAGAGAGTGGTGGTGCTGGAGCTGCGGGTCCAACCGGTCCAAGGGTGAGTTGCAGCTCCACCTCCTTCTCCTCGCTCCACCCGTGGTCTCTGAGTGCACGTGGACTGTGAACGTGTGGACCGTGTGTGTGTGCGTGTGCGCGTGCAGAGGCGTGTGTATGCGCGTTGTGGAGTTCCGTGCATCTTGCTACCGTGGGGAGCGGTGGTGCAGCGGTTAGCGCTACGCCGCGCTACGAACCCGGCGAGCCGAGTTAGATTGCCGCGCACGGTCAACAACCAGTGACGATTATCTGAACCGGTCCTGGGCCTCCTCTAGGTCGACTCAGCCTCAATTGAGTACCGAGTGCTATGTGTAAAAAAAAACATTGCTACTCGGGAGACAAAGGCGGCCGGGCGTGGTGTTGGCCACCCACCCCCTCGTGTGCCGTGCCGGCCTTCATAGGTGCTCGCTAACAGCACTTGCCCCAACAGTCTGTTAAGGCTATACAGGGGATCTTTGTATTTTTGTATGCGTGTGTGGAGTGCGCTATGAACCTGGCCACCCGAGTTCGATTCCCACTTAGCGCCAGCAAGAACAGTGACTGAACCGGTCCTGAGCCTCTTCCAGATCGACTCAGCCTCAAATGAGTACCTGGTGCAGTGTCTAATCATCGCCACTCGGGAGACAAAGGCGGCCGGGCGTGGTGTTGGCCACCCACCCCCTCGTGTGCCGTGCCGGCCTTCATAGGTGCTCGCTAACAGCACTGGTCCCAAAAGTATGATTAGGCTATACGGGGGATCTTTGTCTTTGCCTGAGCGCAGTGGTTATGTGGTGGTTAGCACACACCCTACGGACGCGTCGATCCGCTCATTGGACGCGAATATCGAAAGATCGTTGCTGGGCCTCCCCTAGGTCGACTTGGCCTCGTTTGAGAGACCAATTGGGGTGTGTTGAACATCAGGACTGTGCCGGTAACAGCACTTGCTCAAACAGTCTATCAAAGAAGGCTATCCGGGGGATGTACGTGTTTGTCTGTGTGCGTACCTGTGCGTGTGTGCGCGCCGTCTAACCGTGTGTGCGTGTGTGCGTGTGTGCGTGTGTACAGGGCATCCCGGGTTCCCAGGGTCCCGCCGGTCGTGACGGACACGCCGGGAACGCCGGTATCGCCGGTGGCACCGGTCCCCGTGGCCCCTCTGGAAGCAGCGGCCCTGCTGTACGCACCGCACAACACACGCGCACTCACGCACTCACGAACCGCACGCGCACTCACGCACTGCGAGCACGTGCAACACACACGCAACACACGCACACACTCGCACACATACACACGCAACACACGTACGCACACACTCACAATCACACACGCGTACACACTCACAATCACACGCGCACACATGCACGCATACACACGCACCGCACAACAACCACGACACCCGCAATTCGGCGCTTGTGCCAGGCCACGTGAAGTTTCGAACTGGCAGGAGGTCACGGGACAGACCCAGGTGCCATGGGTCGACTGGCACGCGCGCACACTCACGCGCACCCACTGCTGCCGCTACGTACTCGCCACAGCAACCACAGCACCCGCCGTTCGCCACTAAGTGGCGGCGACGTCACCACGGCCCTTGCGCCAGTCTATGTGCACCAACTCACATCTTGCATAAACGCACGCGACAGCACGTCCGACGTTTCGCCGCACGCTCCCGGGCGACGCGGAGAGAGACGTACGGCACGTCCGCGCCCGATTGAAAAGGGCCGCTCAAACATCGACGTCACCGATTGCCCCCCCTCGTGTCCCGCTGTGCAGGGGCCCGCCGGACCTCCGGGCCCACCCGGTCCCCCCGGCCCCTCGGGAGGCGGCGGCGGATACTTCTACGAGTCGGTGCAGACCGAGGTGGAGAAGGGGCCCGACCCCCTGCGCTTCTACCGTGGCGACGAGGCCGTGCAGGAGAAGGCCGTGCAAGCACAGGAGATGGAGGCGTCGCTCAAGACGATCAGCGGCAAGGTGGACCTCCTGCAGGTGCCCGACGGCAGCCGGGAGAGGCCCGCGCGCACCTGCCGCGACCTGCACCTCACCCACCCCGACCTCAAGAGCGGTGAGTTGACCTCCGCGGAGTCCCTGTTTTTTTAACACTCGAATTGTTAGAATTCTATTATTTTCTTGGCAGGTAAGGTAAGGAAGGGCCTCTTTGTTCAGAAGCGAACTGGACTATCACAACTGAGAGCACGACGAAGTGGCTCGTCACCAGCTCTAAATGCGTGATGTTCATTCTCAACGTGGAGGGAACAATCGGATATACAGGTGTCAGGGTCGGTAACATCATGCTAATCTCTCAACTTAACATAGCCACTTCCGTACCCAGTTACATGCTAATTTCTCACATTAGCATCATTAGACCCAGCCACTTCTCTACGACCCTTGGGCTACACCTTTTAAAACAGTCTGCCTCAGCAGCAGACCATGCTTTCCCACCTGATGACGGATGCTTGTGTTGCGCCCGAAACGTCGTGATTTATTTTATGTCATATCTACGTGACTTTACCGAAAGAACCAAAGAGTGTGGATTCCTTACTTCAAATCAAGATTGTCAGGGTCGGGTTTAAACCCACGACCTCCTGCATAGCAGGCAAAGAAATTAACATTTTTACTAGCCACCCGAGTTCGATTCCCACTCATGGCCAACACCAGTGACGATTATCTGAACCCGTCCTAGGCCTCCCCTAGGTAGACTCGGCCTCAAAATTAGTAGCTGGTGCGGTGTGTAAACATCGGCACTGGGGAGACAAAGGCGGCCGGGGGGCGCGGTGCCGGCCTCCCACTCCCTCGTGTGCCACCGTGCCAACCTTCACAGCTGCTGCTCGCTAACAGCACTTGCCCAACAGTCTGAGGTTACACGGGGGCTGGGTGAGGGTGCATCTTTGTCTTTTCTTGCTTCGCTTGCGCGTGCAGGCAACTACTGGGTGGACCCGAACAAGGGCAGCCCCATCGACGCCATGGAGGTGTGGTGCAACATGGAGAGGGGTCACACCTGTGTGGCAGCCAACCCCAAGTCGGTCGCCCACAAGAGCTGGCACAGCGCCCAGGGCAAGGAGCAGAAGCACATCTGGTTCGGGGAGAACGTCCAGGGCGGCTTCAAGGTGATGAGAGAGCGAGCGCGCTTAACGTCGGCACAACGGTTGGCCTGAACGTCGTCACCTGAACGGTTGCGTTGTCCCTCGTCGTTATCTTCGTCGCCATATATAATCAGCCGTCGTTTATTGCCAACGGACAGCTCGGCCAGTGGCATTGAAGACAAAGGCATCCCATTGCCACGGCTGGCAAAATGTTAAGTTTCATCAGATTTTTGGGCAAAAACGTGCCAACCTTCGTTGTGGGGGGAGGCGGGGGGCAGGGTGGGAGGGGGGTGAGGGTTGGTGTTTAAAATAGCCAAAATGCTGCCGGTCTGGTGGTTCCGGGACCGTCGCTGCCCGGCCGAACGACGCCGCCGCTAACGGAGCCTCTCTCTCCCACCCCCCCCACCCTGCCCACTACACCCCCCCCCCCTTAACCACCACCTCGAACCGGCGCCCCCCGTCCAGTTCACCTACGGCGACGACTCGCTCCCAGCCAACACGGCGGCCGTGCAGATCACCTTCCTGCGCCTGCTGTCCCGCGAGGCGTCGCAGAAGCTCACCTACCACTGCCGCAACAGCGTGGCCGTGTCCGACGAGCGGGGCGACTTTGGCAAGGCTCTGCTGCTGCAGGGCTCCAGCGAGGTGGAGATCCGTGCCCAAGGGAACTCTCGCTTCACCTACAGCGTCCTGGAGGACGGCTGCAAGGTGAGCTGGAGCCACTACCCCCCCCACCGCCCCGGCCCCCCCCCCCCCCCCGCTGCCCACCAGCCAACCGACTCGGCCGCGGCTACTCGACAGTCGGTGGTGGTGGTGGTGGTGGTGCGCGTGACCGGCGAGATGAAAGTATCTCAAAACTCTTCTTGGTTCTTTCGGTAAAGTCACGTAGAAGGAAAATAACGTCGTGAGAATTATTTTATAATGTTTTATTTGTATTATTTTATTACTTTCCTTCTACGTGACTTTACCGAAAGAACCAAGAAGATGAATCCCTGCAGTCACGAAAGCTTTAAATCGAAATTTATCTCAAAACTATTTATAAAAGATATGTTGTTCATTTTAGCAGGTAAGGCCCACTCAGCTGCGTAGCTCTTTTTCAGAAGCGGCCTGGCTATCAAAAGTGATAGCTCGACAGTGGATTATCGTCACATGGACATTTATAGTAGTAGCCAAATGCTGTATATCCACGCTGATTCTAAATGTGGATGGGAAAACCGGAGGAGCTGGAGAAAAATCAAAATATACAGCAGGCTTCAGGGTCAGCATTGAACCCACGACCTTCTGTATACCAGGCGAGGTAGTTAACATCTCGCCGGTATTGCTTTCAGTCAGCCATCCCCGGGGGGTGGAAGGATCTCTCTGGAAATCTTGATGATGACAACGACGGCGATGATGACGATGACGACGATGGTTACTTTTGTCTTTTACAGAGCCATACGGGTCAATGGGGAAGAGCGGAAATTGAGTACAAGTCACAGAAGACTTCTCGTCTGCCCATACTGGATATTGCGCCAATGGACATTGGAGGGCCTGAGCAGGAGTTTGGCATTGATATTGGCCCCGTCTGCTTCTTCTAAATGGACACCACCTCCAGTCTTTTTTTTCCCCCCCTAACTCTTGGACTGCTGCACTGAAAGGTTTGAAAAATGTGTACTTAAATCATCCACCTGCTTATCTTTTGAAAAGGCAAGGCAATGAAACAACGCGGTCAAAGAGTTCGCTACCCTTTCCACTCTGATCCCCTTAACGGAGACGTGTCCTTGATTTGTCACGAGCGGGGGACGTCCCAAAAGGTGCGTTCGGTTAGGGCCCCGACGAGAAACGAGTTCGGCTCCTTCTCACGGGGAGCCTATCCGCGCGCCCTCGCATCAACGCGATGTCGCCCGCTGTGTCGATGTCAGTTTCGACGTAAGAAGTTGGTAGTAGGTTTTTTTTTTGTTAGACCAAAGGATCTCCGGTAGGAGCTACCTCAGGCCCCCCCGACACACACACACACGCGTGAACACGTCAATGCAGGGGTGACAAGGCACTCCGGGTGCTGATAATATTGACGCTTTTTCTCATGGTGCTATATATCATCAAAAGTTTTTGCGGTAGTCGACAAGAGAGCATTTTAAACATTTATTGGGACATTTTTTTTTCTTGAACCACGGTGGGATGTTTCTGGGAGTAACCTCCCCGTGGAGATATTCGTTAAAATCTCTCTCATCCCCCCCCCACCCCCTGCCATCAAGAGTCACGTGGTCCGATCCGGTGGCTCTTCGCCCCCTCCAAAGTTGCAAAATGTAGGCAGATGGATGATGGATCCAGATCGAATTTTTCTTTTTGTCAAATTCAAAAGGTACATCAACAACAACAACAAAAAACCAAGACACATGATTAAAAGGAAAACACACTGCAGTGAGCAGTATTTGGCTGTAAATTACTCAAATTTAGAGACAATAATAATTTTTTTATATATAATAACCCCACTTTTTTTTTGCAAGCGGTACCTGAAATCGTGTCGCCCCAATGCACCCCCCCCGGCTCTCCCCATCACGTCCCGGCTACAATTGAACCCTCTCCCAAGCCTCGTGAGCCGATGGTGGTTTTGTTTAGAATACAGTCTTGCCCCCCCCCCGCCCCCCTTTTACGTGTGTGTTACTTGTGTTGAAACAGTCGTTGAACTAAATAAAAAAACAAACCGAAATACACAGTGCAACCGGTGTGTGTGGCGTCGTTCCGTCCCGCGTGCTTGCTCGTCTCACGATGATGTGTGTGTCTGTGAGTGTGGGGAGCGGTGGTGTAGCGGTTAGCGCGCTGCACTACGAACCTGGCGACCCGGGTTCGATTCCCGCTCACGGCAAACACCAGTGACGATTGTCTAAACCGGTCCTGGGCCTCCCCTAGGTCGACTCAGCCTCAAATGAGTACCTGGTGCGGTGTGTAAACATCGCCACTGGGGAGACAAAGACGGCCGGGCGTTGTGTTGGCCACCCACCCCCTCGTGTACCGTTCTGACCTTTATAGGTGCTCGCTAACAGCACTTGCCCCAACAGTCTGTTCAGGCTATACGGGGGATCTTTGTCTTTTATTGTGCAGAGGAGTGACGCTCACAAACAGCAAGTGCTGGGTGGATAACTCGCAGCAAGTTGGCACAGTAGGGGGCACAGGTTGTGCATAAGACACAGTCATCTCAGTCAGTCAACCCATGGCACCTACAGGGTCTGTCCCGTGACCTCCTCCTGCACCTAGCCTGGCACAGTAGGGAGCACAGGTGGTGCATAAGACACAGTCATCTCAGTCAGTCAACCCATGGCACCTGCAGGGTCTGTCCCGTGACCTCCTCCTGCACCTAGCCTGGCACAGTAGGGGGCACAGGTGGTGCATAAGACACAGTCATCTCAGTCAGTCAACCCATGGCACCTGCAGGGTCTGTACCGTGACCTCCTCCTGCACCTAGCCTGGCACAGCAGGGGACACAGGTGGTGCATAAGCCACAGTCATCTCAGTCAGCCAACCCATGGCACCTGCAGGGTCTGTCCCGTGACCTCCTCCTGCACCTAGCCTGGCACAGCAGGGGACACAGGTGGTGCATAAGTTACAGTCATCTCGGTCAGTCAACCCACGGCACCTGCAGGGTCTGTCCCGTGACCTCCTCCTGCACCTAGCCTGGCACAGTAGGGGCCACAGGTGATGCATAAGCCACAGTCATCTCAGTCAGTCAACCCATGGCACCTGCAGGGTCTGTCTTGTGACCTCCATCTGCACCTAGCCGAGCACAGTAAGGGGTACAGCTGGTGGTGCATCTACCAGTCATCTCAGTCGGCCAACCCATGGCACCTGCAAGATCTGTCTCGAGACCTGTCAGCGAGCCTTCGACACTTCACGTGGTAGCCTCAAAGTGCACCTAGCCTGGCACAGGCGCCGTGGTGACGTCACCGTCACTTCGTGGCGAATGGCGGTTGTGTTGGTATTGAGGAGCGGTGGTGTAGCGGTTAGCGCGTTGCGCTACGAACCCGGTGACGATTATTAGAACTGGTCCTGGGCCTCCCCTAGGTCGACTCAGCCTCAAACGAGTAACTGGTGTGGTGTGTGAACATCGCCACTGGGAAGATAAAGGCGGTCGGGCGTGGTGAATCCAAGTCCTGGGCGAAACCGGGTAGTAAAGCTAGTAATGCATAAACGAGACAATACGTACTTGTATAATTAATACCCAATTATATTAACAACGTGTAAATTAGATGAATCACATTTTACTGACAATAATCATACAAAACAATTATTATTTATTATTCCCGAATCGGGAAAGTAACCTCTGTGAGAACACCACCCCATTAGCTTAATGATCAAATTCATCTTCTAATGAAGAGCGCTACGCAATTACAATAATACCAAATGTTATAAACTATTACGAAAACAACTAATTGTCATCACCAAAACACTCTAATCATCTTCCAACTCCGTGATATCTATTGATTCGAGTTGGATTCATCAAAATAATTACATAAACAAGTTAATTAACACTCATAATAAATTAAGTAACTCACCACGAGGCTCGACGCCATTTTATTATTAGCCACGAGATCGGGTCGGCATCCGCACACATTTTCTTTTCCACTGACAACTCGCTCAACAATCAATTGACATTACCGAGTTTCTGTCCGTCGATTAACAATCGAGCCATTTCAATGAAAGTTGTCTCCATATACAGCATATGAAAGGCAAAGTTGTGATTATGTGTCTGTTCAAAATGTTTAGCGGACTTCCCGACATGCAACAAACTGGAAACTTAACATGTGTGTACTTTCCAGACTGTACACCATGCACAAATTAAAATAAATAGATATATAATTTTTGCACGGCAAGTGAGCTGTGACGTCACATCTGTCACGTGACCCGCGCATGTGGAAGCGTCACGCATTGTAGTGTAGCGGGTAGCGCGCTGCGCTACGAACCCGGCCACCCGAGTTCGATTCCCGCTCACGGCCACCACCGCTGACGATTATTTGAACCGGTCCTGGGCCTCCCCTAGTTCGACTCAGCCTCAAACGAGTAACTGGTGTGGTGTGTGAACATCGCCACTGGGGAGACAAAGGCGGCCAGGCGTGGTGAATCAACGTGCACGGGCGAAGCCGGGTAGAAAAGCTAGTATATTATATTTCAGCTAATGTAGAACGCAGCTTTGCAGTCCAGAAGCTGGTCCAAATCTAAATCTGGGGCTTGTTTTGTGCACGTGGGGGGCTCGGGGTCCAATCGCTGATCACCATTTGCCTGATCTTAAATAATAATCACAATTCACTTGGCTACCCATAGCTATGCAAATTTGTCTTTTAGGAATCCCAAATTCTATGGAGTGCACCATAATACAGGTGAGGGATCCAGCCCATGCCTATCTCTACCCTCACCAAGTCTGTGGGCCAGCTGAAGCATCTGTGCTGGCCTCACAACTGAATATGAATACTTGCAGTCATGAAAACTTCAAATCTAGAACTCGCAGCTGAAGTTGAGTGCAGCCGAGGATGTGCTGTGCCGCCGTGGCCTCTGTGTGTGTGTGTGTCACGATTGCGTCTAACCATCGGCGTGAGTGACGTTCTCACTTTACACCTGCATATGGCTGTTGTTATATTTATCTGGGGTAGTGGGGGAGGGGGTTGCACCATTTGATGTGTTGCTCACATCTCACTTTGTGTGTTTGTCGTTGTTAGAATTTACAGTGGTGTGCCATGGTCCGTCGTACAAAATTAAAAAAAAGTGTGACGACTTTTTTCGTTTCCTCGTTGATTTGCTTCCAGGAATTAGATTAGCCTCGAATGTCCACATGGTTCCTCGCGCGGACCGCTTGCATGCACTCAGTGGCATTTAATACGAAATCTGACACTCGCAGAGTCAATTTTAAAGATGAAGTAGCAACACCGGGATACACTGAATCGCGACTGTGATATAAAATCGTACATTAGCATAACAATGATTTCTAAGTGTAGTACATATTAGTATAAAAAGGACGTTTTGACACGGCGATTTAACACAGCACTCTGATCTATTAAATCAATAAACTACTATAAAATGTTAGGGGCCGTCCATAAATGACGTCACGCACCTAGCGGGTGGGGGGGGGTCAGACATTTGTGACGATGTGTGACGAGGGGGGGGGGGGTGAAAATGTGACGTCACATCAAAATGCGCAACTTTAAATAAATATAGACAACACGTTCTACTTAATTAAATAGACTTTTAAAAATGTTTTCTCCTACAACATCAGAGCGCAGCGCCACATTGAATACGCACTACAATGACAATAGTTTAAAGCGATTAGAAGCATGTTTTATATTGGGGGGGGGGGGGGGGGCAGAGCTTTGTGACGTCATATTTGAGGGGGGGGGGTCTGACTTTTTGTGACGTCGTGTGACGAAGTGGGGGGGGGGGGGGGTCAAAAATCGTCCAAAATCGCGTGACGTCATTTATGGACGGCCCTTAGGAGATGTTAACGACCTCGCCTTGTATGCAGAAGCGCGTGGATTCGATCCCGATCCTGACGCTTGACTATTATTTGGAGTTTGCGTGTCTCTCTCATCATCATCACGGTGGCTAGGAGATGTTAACTACCGCGCCTGGAATGCAGGAAGATGTGGGTTCGATCCCAACCCTGACGCCTGCTGGATATTTGGAGTTTACGTCTCTCTCTGCCCGTGGTCGCGTGGAATTTGCTCCGGGTCCTCCGGTTTTCCCCTCCACATTTAGAAACGACGTCACGCGTTCGGAGTGTTGGCAGCTCATGAAGATGACAAACCCCTTCGTGGAGCTTTTGTTTGTGGCCAGGGCGCTTCTGAATAAGTAATATTTAAAAATACTTTTTTAGAAACACGCTTTAATGGCAGAAGTCCACGACTCCAGGAAGTGGCCCCCGAAGCTTGCCATAGCGTAAGGGACCGTGGGCAATAAGACCAAAGCCGAAACATAACATATAAAAAATAATGTTTAAAAATACTTTTTTTTTTATATAAAATAGTATTGTCATCAGTATTACATAAGTATACCAAGTTTGCAGTCGATACCACATGGGGAAGTGGGTTAAAATTGAGTTACAAGATTTGAGGATACGACGACAAGTTCAAGTTCATGTATTAGGTGTAGCCCTGTGAGCCATTCAGCTCTTGAATCGGGTGCAACCGCAACAAACAAAAAACAAAAACATGAACAAAAAACATCTTAAAGTGAATATGTGACTGAGTGCAAACAGAAAATCCAAGAAAAGACAGCAAAAATATTGCAGAAAAAACACCGTACACCAACGCTGTGTGCAAAAATCTCAGTGGGATGCAAGTCAAACAACAACAACCACAAAACAGCTTAGATTAAGGCCATCAGTCTAACTCTGTACTACAACAAACAAACATGGCTAAACCAATACACTTTTCGAAATCACCAAAATAAAGCCATGAAAGCAATGAAAAAGCAATCATAGGAACTGTGACGGAATTTTCACAATAAATGGCATAACATGTACTACCAAAACCCTGCAGCCATAGCTGGCTGCATGAGTCACTCAACAACAGCAGGAGCATCAATCGGAGTATTATAATTTTTCAATGCACCTTTAAGATCAGCACACTAAATCAAAACACAGGTCATACTTTGTAGCGATTATCCGGAGCGAAACATTTTATTTTAGGTCACTGAATAGCAGTGGCAGCTAGGGGTGTACAACTCATCTAGAGCAGTTTTGAGTGAAGATCTCATAGGTAGTGACTCAAGTTTCAATTTATTTGCAACAGCATTCCAGACCCTGGGGGCATCAATAGCAAAGGCCCTTCCTCCAGTATATGTACGGCAATAGGGAATATTAAGCTGGTAAATGAGTGGAAGACCTTAGGTCAAACAACAGAGTGAGTTAAATAAAAGCGTGTAATGAAAAAAGATACAATTTGCTCAGTGGGGCCTTAACGTGGTAACATCTTTAAAAGTTTCGTTTAATAATAAATAGCCTGGCTCAGTTCAAGGGACGCCACGCGTTTTACATAAACACATTCCTGCGGAGGGTGCTGGTAGGAACGTTGGGTTGCTCGGTCAATGGCCTGCAGGGTCAACGGCGGCGTGGTGTATTCCGCAAATATGCCCGACTGTGAGGGCGGGCACAAGCCGGCGTGAGTAGGTTAAACGTTGAGTTTTATAAGGGCACCACGGGGTGACCAGCCCCTCTCCACCCAGCCCCACCCCTCACCCAGCCCCTCCCCACCCAGCCCCTCCCCACCCTCCCCTCTCCACCCGGCCCCACCCCTCACCCAGCCCCACCCTCTCCACCCAGCCCCTCCACACCCTCCCCACCCAGCCCCTCCCCACCCTCCCCTCTCCACCCAGCCCGACTCCTCCCATTTTTGGATTTACGACGGACGGACGGACACAATAATCCCCTGTGGGCTGGTGGAACCAGGTGGTTCCTACCAGTAAAATTGCAGCAGTTGCAAGCGGCATAAAAAAAATATATAAACATCATCAGCAATTTTTTTCGATGTAAAGCTTTCGTGACTGCAGGGATTCATCTTCTTGGTTCTTTCGGTAAAGTCACGTAGAAGGGAAATAATAAAATAATAAAAATAAAACATAATAAAATATAATTAAATTTCGATTTAAAGCTTTCGTGACTGCAGGGATTCATCTTCTTGGTTCTTTCGGTAAAGTCACGTAGAAGGGAAATAATAAAATAATAAAAATAAAACATAATAAAATACAATTCTCACGACGTTTCGGCCACAACGCAATCAGCCGTCCTCATGTGAAGAACAGGTCTGTGGCCGAAACGTCGTGAGAATTGTATTATTTTATTATGTTTTATTTTTATTATTTTATTATCTCCCTTCTACGTGACTTTACCGAAAGAACCAAGAAGATGAAACTGATTTAATTTCTCCATCTCCTGTGTTGGAAATCCTCTCCTACATTATTCACATTTTTATATTATACATTAAATATTAAAAATATCTAATATTAAATTATACTAATCAGGCACTCGGGCTCCTGCGCAGGGCAGCCCTAGGGGTCCTGGCCGGCGCGGGTAAGGCCGTGTCGCGCGTAGGTCGGCTTCGACGTAAAACGATGTCCCTCTGAGTCCTCCTCGTCGACCGCGTGTCGAGTGCGTCGTTCGCGGGCGAAGAGGAGGAAGGGAGGAGGTGGTGGTGCTGGTCTGACGCGCTCGCCGTGTCGCCGTGGCCCGCCAACCCCATCGGGCCGCAGGCGCGGGGTGAAGCCTGCCGCCTTGCCTGGATTCTTCTACGGGCGCCGGTGCTCGGATTCCCGCGGAAGCCCCGGTACGCGGGACCCCCCCCCCCCCCCCCACACCTCTAACAACACCAATCACCCCCGGTTCTCCGGGGTTTCTGGATTAAAACTTAAAAAAATAAATGCATGACAAAGGCGTTGATGCTAACGGGGTTAATCGATGGTTATAAAATGTATTCAATAATAGCTGCATTAGCGCTGGGCTTACGTGTCGGCACGCCATTAACGCGCGATTTTAATATCGTTCGATAATGACAATCGTTAAATTAAGTACGTTAATGTTAATTAAGAGGGACCTTCATCCAGCAGTGGATTTATGAAGGCCGTTTATTGTTGATGTGGTGTTTGCAGTCACTCCATCAACATGGTGATTGTAAAACAATAGTACTGCACCCTATTACCCTATTTAAATTCGCCGTTATTAATATGGCGACTGTCCTATGACAGGCGTATAATAATAATACCACTGTGTGAAACCCACACAAATAATATGGCATGACTGTAATCGCATGATAATAGTGTTGAGTAAATACATTGTGCAGTGGAGCGGTGGCGCAGTGATTGGGGCGTTTTGATATCACAGAACCACCTAGGCCTCGGCAAGGTAAGGTAAAAGTTAAAACCAACGCGCCTACCTTTACCCTACCTTTTACCTTACCACAATACAATCACTCTACCCTTACCTTTTAGCAGGTAAGGTAAAAGGTAAAAAAGCAACGTGCCTTCCTTTACCATACCTTTTACCCTGACCCTATACAAATTACCCGATTACAGGGTAATTACTGGGGTACTACTACACATGAACAAGGTTTATAACGGTAAACGCTGTAGGTAGAGCGCTTTATACATATAGAATACTCTCGATGATTCCAATTTAACACGCTTTCTTTTAACTCACTGTCTGTTGTTGTATCCTCAAATCTTGTAACTCAATTTTAACCCACTTCCTAATGTGGTATCGACTGCAAACTTGGTATACTTATGTCATACTGATGACAATACTATATTACTGTATATCATTAACAAAAATATTTTTCTAACATTCTTTTTTATTTCGATTTGAAGCTTTCGTGACTGCAGGGATTCATCTTCTTGGTTCTTTCGGTAAAGTCACGTAGAAGGGAAATAATAAAATAATAAAAATAAAACATTATTTGATTTTATTATGTTTTATTTTTATTATTTTACTACTTCCCTTCTACGTGACTTTACCGAAAGAACCAAGAAGATTCTTTTTTAAATGTTATGTTTCGGCTTGGGTCTAATTGTCCACGCTCAACTCACGTTGGCTGTAGATCACCACGGCCCCCTGACGTTGTGGCAAGTCTCGGGGCCACTTCCTGGAGTCGTGGAGTTCTGCCATTACTAGGACATTTAATAAAAGCGTGTTTTTAAAAAAAAGTTTGTTTAAATATTACTTATTAAATGGAGGCCACGGACTGCGCGACGGAGCTTTTAGCGGTAAACAAGGTACCGTATTTACCGGGTAATACTTTGCGCTACCTTTACCCTACCGGCTAATTCTTCCGAGCTACCTTTACCCTACCCTTTACCTTACCCCTTGGCATGTCGACACCTTTACCTTTTTACCCGGTAAAAAGGGTAAATTACCTTGCCTTGCCGAGGCCTGAAGTATGGTCAACAAACACCCACCACCGACAGGAGGCATTCATCCAGCAGTGGATTTACAACAAACTGTGTGCAAGGACAAAGTCGAATATTCAATCACCACTTAACCGCTCGCACTCACTCGGTGCATTGTTTACGCATGGTGCAACTTGTCATTTACATTCGAGTTATTAATTCGTTTATTTAGTAAATGTTTTACCAGGATAACCCTTGGGGTGGAACATCTCGTTAGCTAGGGCGTCCAGAGTAGAAGTTTATTTTTACATATCCGAACTTTCAGATACCGCTCCCAACTTATGGTGTATGAATCGGTTTCCGATTGGCACGGTTGGCTACGTACGGTGCGAAAGAAGTTCAACATACGTACATAATTGCACCTCCGATTAGGGGCCGTCCATAAATGACGTCACGCGATTTTTTACGATTTTTTGACCCCCCCCCCCCCTTCGTCACACGACGTCACAAAAAGTCAGACCCCCCCTCAAATATGACTTCACAAAGCTCTGCCCCCCCCCCCCAAATATAAAACATGCTTCAAATGGCTTTAAACTATTGTCATTGTAGTGCGTATTTAATGTGGCGCTGCACTCTGATGTTGTAGGAGAAAACATTTATTAAAAAGTATATTTAATTAAGTAGAATGTGTTGTCTATATTTATTTAAAGTTGCGCATTTTTATGTGATGTCACATTTCTGACCCCCCTCCCTCGTCACACATCGTTACAAATGTCTGACCCCCCCCCTCCCTTAGGTGCGTGACGTCATTTATGGACGGCCCCTTAGCACGGCTGGCTACGTACGGTGCGACAAGTGCAACATACATAAAACGTGTGCCCGTAGATGGTGGTTTGTGCGATGGGGCAATGGGGTGGATGACACGTTTTGCGCCCACGTGTGTGTATCTGCGTGTGTTTCCACGGCAGGATTTCTCTCTGTGGGTGACCAGCGGAGTAGCCACAAGTCACCATGTCACGTGAGTCTCACCGTTGGCCTCGTTGGAGACGGGGCTGGGTTCGAGTTCCCGTTTTCTCTGCAGACCTTCACATCCACCGCAGTCGCTAACAGCACTTACCCCGAAAATATTAAAGATAAACGGAGGGGGATTATTATTAATACTATACTTTATATCTTATCTAGATTTTTATCGCGCCTTATTCCGAGGCGCTTTGCAGCAATATTAAAATTGTACATAAGATGATAGTGGTAGAGATAAATAGTGGAGTTTTAAGAAGTGATGGTGTATATGTGTAGGTGAGTTTATGCGTGTGTGTGTGTCTGTGTGCATGTGTGCAGGACGGCCACCTGTGACCGCCTCCCCGGCCCCCGGCACCACCACTCCGGCAGTAAGCCAATCGGCCTGCTCTCCCGCCCGCTTCGTGAACTCTGAACCCGCATTGGGCCTCTTACTCTGGCCTGGAAACCCAAACAGCCCGGGAACGTCTTCGTAATTCATACCCGGCTATCCTTTGGCCGTCGACGGTTGCCCTTTTGGCCGGGGCCAACAGTCACGGATATTGAGCCGTTGCTTTGAAACAAAAAATCGAATTGCGTGTTCCGTGAAGATCCGGGCAAGTTTGAAAGTGTGCCGTGAAATGAATAATGTTGAGAAGCACTAAATAAAAAAAAACTGCCTGTGGAATGTGATAGGTGTCACAAAATTACCTGTGTAATAATTCTCTACACTGGGTAATTGTGCACCTCACATGGCCAGCTAATAAGAGGAGTTCCTTGCATGGCGATCGAGTCAGAATTATTTGAGTCTTTTTTTAGTCCTTGCGTTCCGTGTTTTGCTATAAAGTCCTAAACCGGTGCTCGCTTAACAGCCCTTGCCCTAATTGTGCGCAATGCAACCTCTTGCGAGGTTAAACAAATTAATTTGAGACGCTGCTGCCTTGGTGGCAGCGGTGTACAAGCACAACCAACAACACAAACTAAAACACAACACGTTCGTCAACAACACTGCGTAGTCTTAAAAGAAAAAAATATATGTTAAGGTGAATTTTCGAGTAATGGGCCCGTCTTCAGTTATCTGCTATGAATGTGTTGAGTGTTCTTTAATTTACAAGTGTGACCTGGGGCATTAGTCTACCAGTAGGGGGTAATGCTTGCTACTGTGTAATCCCAATTGAGTAATCTGCAGTGGTTGTTGCTAACGCTCTGCCAGCTCGTGCGTATGTGTGTGTGTGTTGTTGTTGGTGCCACTGCACCATCTGGGCTTAGGCAGTGTAGCGATTAGCTCACTACGCTACGAACCTGGCGACCCGAGTTCGATTCCTGCTCATGACCAACACCAGTGACAATTTTCTGAACCGGTTCTGAGCCTCCCCTAGGTCTATTCGGCCTCAAATGAGTACCTGGTACGGTGTGTAAACATCGCCACTAGGGAGACAAAGGCCGTCGGGCGTGGTGTTGGCCACCCACCGCCTCGTGTGCCGTGCCGTCCTTCGTAGGTGCTACTCGCTTAACAGCACTCGACCCAACAGTCAGTTACAGGTTAGACGGGGGCATCTTTGTCTTTGTTGTTGTATTTTCATACCCCCTTGGCCCCACCGCATCTACAGCAAACAACCAGCAACCCTGGCTTCGTGGGCTACAACCCGTACAGCCACCTGGCCTACAACAACTACAAGTTGGGTGGACAGCCTGGAGCCAACAGTAGAGCCATGGTGAGTGAGTGAGTGACAGGCCCTGTGGCCAGGCTGAGCCGCATGGTGGCAGAACAAAAACTGTTAAATTGCATTTTACAAGTAGGCTTTTTCTTGACCAATTTTACACTTCATATTTCGTTTCTTTGGATAGTGTCGGTATAATGTACATTTTTGTTAAACTACAACCATCCACCAGTTGTCACGTGAGAAAATATTTCAATTTATTCGGGGGGTTTTTTCCGCAAAAACGGACTGTTGAAAATTAAGCGGACATTTGACGATTGTAAACGAGTTTAGATTCAAAACCATTATCAAATCGCCAGAGGCCGGCGGGGTTTGTATGGCTGCTGTAACCGCTCACGATAAACAGTATTAAACCTCACAGAGAGCAGCGCGATTGCGGCTAACAGCCCCTGCCTGCCTCCGACCCTCAGGCAAAACAATTGCGTTCGTGGAGCCCAAGCTTTGAATTGTGGACCATGCCGATCAAGCCGCCTACGTTGAGTAGTGTAGCGAGCGACGTCATTAACGCTGCCCGTCGGCCCCATTAATCGCACGTTTAAAATAATGCATGTCGGATTTTTGCCTACGACGTTTGAATCATTCGTCTTTTGTAACCATTGCATTGTGAATGACCTCCCCCCCCCCCCCCCCCCGTGTATGTGAGCTGTCCTCCCTTGCATGCAAGCTTTCCGCATTAAGATGGCTTCTGCCGTGCCTCGTCTCGTTAAACGGTGGACTGGGTCGATGCGCTCCGCTGGCTTTGTTTTTCTACTCCCACTTGGCGCCACGCCGTTTATAACGCAACGATTTCGTCCGCAACAAAGTTTTAGTTAAAAAAAAGAACTCGACCTTGAATTCAAGAGTCAGAGTTGAATCCACACTTGAAGTCAACCTCGACCCTGAATTCAAGATGAAGGGTCAAGACGTCATGAATGCCGACGCTGTTGATTCCACCACCACCTCGTGGCCAACGCTTTCTGACCCGCTATATCCTGCAGCTGAAACTGCACCATCTGGGCTTAGGTCTAGTTCTTTTCTTCCTTTCCCTTGGTCGCTAGACTCATGGAGACCACTCCAATTCATGTCTCGGTAAACCGGCTACGCGTGCCCCACCCAGCGAGCTTCTTTTTGACCCAGCATTGTGACACGTGATGGAATCGCAGTGGGGAGAAAGGCGGGGAGGGTGTGGGTGTGGTGACGAATCATGGTGTACGCCAGCCAGAGGTCGCAAACGGGTTTTGATTCCTTACCCGTACCCGGCCGCACCAGGGTCGCAAACGGGTACCCGTACCCTACCCGATACCCGGCTACCCGTACCCGGCCGGGTATCGGGTAGGGTACGGGTACGAGTACCCGATTGCGACCTCTGGGATGAAGCCATGTTGCAGGTGCGGGTGGGTTGATTCTAGGAACTTGAATTGTGAGAAGAGACAAGACGTTGGGAAATGAGTGACAAACGGTGACTCACCAGTGACTCACGGCCTACCCGTACCCGGCCGCACCAGGGTCGCAAACAGGTTCCCGTACCCGTACCCGGCCGGGTACGGGTAGCCGGGTATCGGGTAGGGTACGGGTATCGGGTTCCCGATTGCGACCTCTGACGCCAGCTGGGGGAGCCGGTTGCCTCCATTGCTCAACCACGAGGGCCGAGTTGAACTCCTGGGCCAGTGTTCCCTCCACGGACCCACTTCTCTCCACAGCGTAATGGGTTCAGTTTCCAGCTCGGCTGCCACCACCCGCCTGTTACGGCTGTCGCCTGCTGCGCTTGACCCTGCTTGGCTTTGTCCCCGCCTGCCCGCCCCCCCACCTTCCTCCCCACCCTAACTCCTACTCTCCCACCCATCCACCCCTGCCCGCCCACCACCGCCCATGTACCTGCTGTGGACTGTGGCATACGGCACAGAACGGACAATCGGACAAGCACGTCTCCTCAACATGTCTGTCCTCCCACTTAAAATAAATAAACATGCAATTGATCCACGTTAGCCTCACTGCTGATGAGATGCTGCTGATGACACCAAATCCGGAATTTTTATTTGCATGAAGCACTCCCAGAAGGCCACGTAGCTGATGATGGGATGTGTAATAAAATACTTTTTAAAAGAGTTTTTTTTCTTAATGCAGTGGGACAGATGTGTGCGAAGGAGGAGGCGTGTTGTCTGATTATTCATCATGGAACTTAGATTCTCCACGACGCCGCCGAATGCTTATCTTGTTTTTAGCGCGGGGTGAACGGGACGTATAATCGGTTGCCTTGCTTTTCGTTTGGGTCTGAAGGCTCTTCCGGTTGCCTCCAAAGAAGAGTTACGCGGTCCGCTTTTGGGCAGCCTCCCCCCCTCCCCAGCTTGCAAACCTTCCGCCATCCCCCCACCCCTCATTTTCCTTTTAGCTTTGTCGTAACGCATGCCTCATCACCACCACCGCCTGCTGCTCCCATTCCCTCCCACCTCCCCCTCCCCTCACCGTGTGCGTAGACATCGTACCTGGGTAGGCAGTCTCACGACATAGCCTCCAGGCAGTATCGTGACACCTGGGCCGCCCCCGCGTACAGCCATGCCTTGCACGGCCTAGTGAGTGACCTCCCCCCCCCCCCCTCCCTCCCTCCCTCCCTCCCTCCCCCCCCCCTCCCTCCCTCCCTCCCCCCCCTCCCTCCCTCCCTCCCTCCCATGCACCTCGCATGTGGCTCCCTCCATCCCATGTACGTCACATGTTCTTACCTCCATCCCATGTACCTCGCATGTACCTCCCTACATCCCATGTACCTCCCTCCCTCGTACCTCAATCCCTCCCTCCCTTGTACCTCCCTCCCATGTCCCTCCCTCCCCGAGTAAGGCGCTAAGGTACACGATTACCCACAACCCTGGGCGTCACTCCCCTCCAGCTCCTACTGGGGGTGGCTCGCCTCGTCCTGCCCCCCCTACCCTGCCCCCCCCCCCCCCCCGACACTCCCAGCTGACAAGGCGGGGGGCACGAGTGGCTTGTAGTTACCAATATGCTTTCGGATTGCCCCCCCAGTAGCACCCAACACACCCCCCCCAACTCCCCCCACCCCTTGGTCGGCGTGATGTCCGACGTTTCGCTCCGCGTCCTGGAAGCTTCTTCGGGAAGTGAGTGGAGAGCGCTGTGGCAGCGCGCGGAGCGAAACGTCGGGGCGGCGGGAGCGTGTTGTGTCGAGCAAGCGAGCCAGCGAGTGTTTCTGTCGTGGGCAGTGGTGCGCCGCGCGTGCCTTTGGTGTCCTGTGGAGTGGTGGGTTCTTGCGTTGAGTGGTGTGTTTTGCAGGTTGGGTTTGTTGTTAGTGTTGTGTTGTACGCTTTGAGGTCTGTGGTTTTGCAGTTGCTTGTCATAGTGCGGCGTTGTGTATGGTGCAGTCTGTTGTGGTGCAGTGTGTTGTGATGTGGTGCAGTGTAATTTTGATTTAAAGCTTTCGTGACTGTAGGGATTCATATTCTTGGTTCTTTCGGTAAAGTCACGTAGAAGGGAAATAATAAAAAAATAAAAATAAAACATGATAAAAATTATCACAACGTTTTGATTGCAACACAAGCAATCATCATCAGTTGTGAAAACTACAGCAATACTTTTAGTTTTTTTTACAGCTAAAACATTTTCTTGCTGTAGTTTTCACACCTGATGATGATTGCTTGTGTTGCAATCAAAACGTCGTGAGAATTTGTATTTTTTTATAATTTTCTTTTTATTATTTTATTATTTCCCTTCTATGTGACTTTACCGAAAGAACCAACAATATGTGGTGCAGTGGCTATGTTGGAGTGGCTTGTCGTAGTGTGGCGTCTTGTGGCGTGTTGCTCTGCGCTGAGTTGCGTGTGTTGCGGTGTTTTGTATCCGTCTTGGCGCCGTGCAGTGCGGCGTGTCAGTGCGGCGTGGCAAGCCGTTCCACTAGCAGGCTGGCGTGGCGAACCGTTACCGTGTGCCATGCGTTGCTTCGCTCGCAGACAAACCCTGGGATCACGGTGCCAAAGCCACCCAAGCCTCCAGACAAGCCCCTCATGCCGTACATGCGCTACAGCCGGAAGGTACGAGAAACACGCGCGTCATACAAAACTAAACAAGACAAAGATCCCCTAGACAGCCTTAATATTATTTTGGGGCAAGTGCTGTTAGCGAGCACTTATGAAGGCTGGCACGGCACACGAGGGGGTGGGAGGCCAACACCACGCCTGGCCGCCTTTGACTCCCCAGTGGCGATGTTTACACATCGCACCAGGTACTCATGAGGCTGAGTCGACCTAGGGGAGGCTCTTGACCGGTTCAGATAATCGTCCCTGGTATTGGCTGTGAGCGGGAATTGAACTCGGGTTACCAGGTTCGTAGCGCAGCGCGCTAACTGCTACACTACCGCTCCCCCCATATAGCCTTAACAGACTTTTGGGGCAAGTGCTGTTAGCGAGCACCGATCAAGGCCAACACGACACTCGAGGGGGCGGGTGGCCAGCACCACGCCCGACTGCCTTTGTCTCCCCAGTGGCGATGTTTACACACCGCACCAGGTACTCATGAGGCTGAGTCGACCTAGGGGAGGTCCAGAACCGGTTCGGATAATCGTCACTGGGTGTTGGCCGTGAGCGGGAATCAAACCCGGGGCTGCCGGGTTCATAGCGCAGTGCGCTAACCGCTACACCCACCGCTCCCCATACACGCACACACGCACACACACACACGCAGCTAAACAAATGCGAGTGGCCGATTCAAATTGTGCCACGACCCGAAAGCCGATCGAAATCTGTCGCATATCTTGAACTGTGTGCGTCTGAGCATCGATTATTTGCAATTTCACGTAAATTATTTGAAAGTGATAGGTGCATGATACCACTGATCCCCCTATAAAGGACACGAACGGTCCTCGCAACTGTCCACTAACATTATTTGGGAACAATTCAAATCCAGCGTCGCGTTCAAATTGAACGTCGACAGCGCGCGGCTAGGGCACACGTTCTCGAACGCGACGAGGATGTGAGGAATACGTTGAACTCCGCTTTGGTTAAGAGAAGCGAGCCGGCCGTGGGGGTGGTGGGGGGCTCTAGCCAATCTCCCTCCCCCAACACACCGAGCGCCAACTCCTCGCACGAGCGAGTGATGGATCGTAGGGGGGGGGGAGCGGGCGGGCAGGGGGGGGCAGACGGACATTTGGGGGGTGGGGGGGTTAGTGGCTGGGACGTGCGGCTCGTGTTGCCAATAAGGGTGGCGTTGATTGGTCGACTGCTGTGTGCGCGTGTAGCCAACCGGAGGGAAGAAGAAGGCAGGGCGCGCCACGGTGCAGGTGGGAAGCCCTCGTTCAGATGCACTCGGGCGAAAGAGACCCTCGCGTGTGGAGTGACCTTGAGAGCAAAGCGAGAGCCTGCGACGAGACTGCGAGAGAGCGCGAGAGAGAGAGAGAGAGCAGCGAGCGCTGTCCGAGCCCAACGGCCTCCGCGGAGACGTTGGGCTTAGAACTTGGGGTTGGATTCTCAGGCAGCCTTTAGAGCAGTCAAGTTTCCTTTTTGGTGGCGGTGTTGATGACGATGTCGACGTTGTTGGTGGTGATCGTGGTGGTGGTGGTGGTGTTAGTGGTGGTGGCGGCACTGGTGGTGATCGTGGTGGCGGTGACGGCACTGGTGGTGGTGGCGGTGGTCGTCGTGGTGGTGGTGGTGGCGGCGGTGGTGGTGGCGAGATGCGTGTACGGGGCGCGCGGGCGTGTCTCTTGCCAGGTCTGGGACCAGGTGAAGGCGTCGAACCCGGACCTCAAGCTGTGGGAGATCGGCAAGATCATCGGTGGCATGTGGAGGGACCTGAGCGACGAGGAGAAGCAGGAGTACATCAACGACTACGAGGCGGAGAAGGTGAAGGGGTGGGGGGGGGGAGCGGCCGTTGCTGCAGGGAGGTGGAAGCAGAGGTCGCAAACGGGTTTTGATTCCTTACCCGTACCCGTACCCGGCCGCACCAGGGTCGAAAACGGGTACCCGTACCCTACCCGATACCAGGCTACCCGTACCCGGCCGGGTATTGTGTAGGGTACGGGTATCGGGTACCCGATTGCGACCTCTGGGATGAAGCCATGTTGCAGGCGCGGGTGGGTTGATTCTAGGACGTTGGGAAATGAGTGACAAACGGTGACTCGCCAGTGACTCACGGCCTACCCGTACCCGGTCGCACCAGGGTCGCAAACGGGTACCCGTACCCAGCCGGGTACGGGTAGCCGGGTATCGGGTAGGGTACGGGTATCGGGTACCCGATTGTGATCTCTGGGCGGAAGGGCACGGAGCCCCCTCAACCGTCGCTTCCCGTAACCGACGAGCAAGCAATCGCTGCGTAGGGTGAATATGGGGGCTGCCCAGAGACAGGGTGAGGCTTCGGCGCGTCCTTGTTGCGCAGCCGCCGCCGCTCGGGGAGCGGACGAGAGCGGTCGCGGGCGACGATTTGCGTCGTGCGACTTTTCGAGCTGTCGGATTTTGCGACCCGTCGGTCGCGATGGGTTTGCCTTGAGAGGCGGCCGAGCCTCTGCCGAGAGTTGAGCGAGCTGAACGAGCGCCGCCGCCATCTTGCCGCACGCAGATCGAGTACAGCGAGGCGATGAAGACGTACCTCAACTCGCCCACCTACCTGGCCTACGTGAACGCCAAGAGCCGCGCCGAGGCGGCGCTCGAGGAAGAGAGCCGCCAGCGTCAGCGCAACGACAAGCTCGAGTCCTACATGAGCATCCAGCCCGCGGAGGACCCCGAGGGTGCGCTTGCGCAGTGATGGGGGGAGGCGGGGGGCGCGTGGGGGGGGGGGTGCGCATACGATCACGCAAGCAGCCGCGTGCGCGCGCCCCCACCTCAATCGCGATGTGTACGCAGCAGTCGCAGCAAGTCTTTTCCCTCGGTCGCCGGACTCGTGGAGACCATTTCGGTGCCCGGCAATCGGCCTTGCCTGCATCCTGTACGCACGTGCGTCCCGCCGGTCACCGTCTCGAGAAAACGATCCGATAGAAACGTACGTTGGACGATTTGATGATCCGTGATCTGATTAACCGAAGGCGTTTTATCTTATTATTATTATTCTCCCCCCCGCCCCCCACCCGACTCGTCAGACTTTGACGACGGCTTCTCGGTGAAGCACGTGTCGGCCGGGCGATTCCTGCGCAACCACCGTCTCATTAACGAGATCTTTAACGAGTCGGTGGTGCCCGACGTGCGCTCCGTGGTGACCACCAACCGCATGCAGGTGCTGAAGCGGCAGGTGCACTCGCTGATGGTCCACCAGGTACGGCAACGGCGGCAACGGCGGCAACGGCGTCGGCGGCACACCACGCGGCACGGTGCTCACTGCCACACAGCGCAGCGCGATTAGGGATCGGTGCAGTCGGTGGCGGATCTACGTTGGGGGAGGGGCGGTGGCTATGGGAGGGGGTCAATCCCCCCCTCCCCCAACTCCCCCCATACCGCCCCCTTGAGACCCTAAAATTGGTATTCTATTGATACCGTAAAATACATTTAGGGCCCTAATTATAGAAGAGAGACATTTCATGATTGCTCTTCCCCCCTGCCCCCCGCCCTGGAAAGCGTCTAGATCTGCATTGTACCCTATATTACTGAAAATCTGTTCATGGGATGATCAGTAATATAGGGTACAGCAATATCGCATTATTACTATAATGGATAAGTATACCTTATAATCTAGTGGTCGTGCCTTGAGCCGACAATACCTACTCAAAGCCACCCTATAACAGCGTTTTGTAAAATATCCAAGTGAGAAATTAAGCCAAGGGTATTATTAGTATGATCTTGAACACCTCATGCAGTGGTGCTGGCCACACCACCGCATACACGTTTGGCAAGTTCAGTGATCACCCACTCCTCGCCTGGTATGCAGGAGGTCGTGGGTTCGATCCCAACCTTGACGCCTGCTGCTGTATATTTGGAGTTTGCGTGTCTCTCTTTTCCCGTGGTCGCGTGGATTTTTCTCCGGGTCCTCGGGTTTTTCCCTCCACATTTAGAATCGACGTCATTTGACCGCTTTAAAGAGATTGGTGCCGGAAAGATGTGCTCGACTTGAGCATATTGGCACTCGACGTAGGAAAGTGAAAACAAATTCCCTGATCTGCAGTGGACACCGAGGGGCTATCTGCTCATGGATCGTGATGATGGTGTTGAAATTTGCACGTGACAAGCCACTTCGTTGGGATATCACTTGTGGCCAGGTTTCGCTGCTGAAAAAAAGCTACATAGCTCAGTGGGCCTTACCTGCTAATTTACACTTTTAAAAAAATCGTTTTAGTATTGTAGTAGCGGCGCTTTCACCGCGGGCTGCATATCGTAGACGGCGTCGACGGAGAGTTCGGGGCCAGTACGCGGCGCTCGGTGAGATGGCACAGAGCGGATCGCTGCCGACTGTCGTGGATGATCCCGTGTCACGATAGATAAGCAGGCGGTCGCACAGGGATGTCATCTCCCTCGCCTGGTACGCAGGAGGTCATGGGTTCGATCGCGGGTTCTCTCCCTCTCCCCCGTTGGTGGCCGCGTGGATTGTTCTCGGGGTTCCTCCACGTTGAGAAATAAACGTGCATTTTGGATTTTTCTGCCCTCTTCTGTAAGTGGAAAAGTAATCGTTGCCCTTCTCGGTGTGGCGTGCGCCGTGGTTTCCGCGTCGCAGCAAAAGCTGGAGGCGGAGCTGCTGCAGATTGAGGAGCGGCACCAGGGCAAGAAGCGCAAATTCCTCGACTCGACCGAGCGCTTCAACTCGGAGCTCAAGAGGGTGAGGCCCGGGGTCGCACCGTGGGCTTGCGTGGGGCCTAGGGGTTGTTAGACCAACCACACGATTTTTTCTGTGAACCCGTTTGCTGTTACTCGCCCGTCTTCTGGCCACGTCCGAGCCAGGCTGGTTTCGGGAAGCGTAATCTTACGTGATCTGCGTGACCCACCAACCCCTGCTGCGAAAGCGCTGGGTGACACCAGTCAGCTTTTACAAAAGATTAGCTGCTCCGAGATTCTCTTCTCCTCCAGCGAAGGCATCGGCAGAAATTCCCAGTTTGCTATGACGGAGGCTAGTCAGCGTGGTACAGGAGTGGACGACTTGCCGACGACCGGTACCAGCAGCGTCAAGATCAGCCTCTGTGGAGGACACTCGTGAAGGATGGTGTTACTGGGCAGTTGAAGGCAGTCGCTCTCCAGCTACAGCGAAGGGCGGAGGAGCGACGCTCACACCAACGAGCGCAGCGCCAGGCGGCTAAAAGTCCGCAAGTTGGCACAGTGCGGAGCATCCGCCAGTGATCTCGCTCAGTCAACCCACGGCACCTGGGTCTGTTTTGTGACAACCTCCTGCCTTGTGAGCCTTCGACACTTCACGTGGTCTCAAACTGCGCCTAGCCTGGCGCAAGCGCCGTGGTGACGTCACCACTGCATAGTGGCGAACGGCGGTTGTTGTTGTCGTCGTCGTCGTCGGTGGTGTGTGCGTTGCAGCTGCGCGGCCAGAAGATCGAGGTTGACCTGCAGAAGGTGGCGGCCGATGTGGCCGCCACCGCCGAGGAGACGGCGCAGAAGCGGCGCGAGGAGGAGCGCGACAAACCCACGGCGCCACCGGCACCCGCGCAGGTGTCGCACGCGGCGATGCACACGGCGACATGCACGGCGACATGCACGGCGACACGCACGGTGACGCACCGCGTGGCGAAACACACGGTCACACGCAGCACCCAGTGACACGCACCGCGGTCGGCTACGCACGGTGCAAAAGAAGTTCCACACACGTCCACAGCCTGTCGTGAGACACACGGCACACGCCACGACACACGACACACACTTTACCACGGTGACTGGGGATACGAGAGTGGCCGGGTGTGGTTTTGGCGGCTCCCCCGCTCTTGCGCCGTGCCAGCATTCATAGTTGCTGCTCCGCTAACAGCATTCGCCCCAGCAGCCAGTGCGGGCTACACTGGGGACCGTCGTTTTAATCGTTTGTTTACGCGCATACCTGTGTGTATGTGTGTGGGGAGCGGTAGTGTAGTGGTTAGCGCGCTGCGCTACGAACACGGCAAGTGACATTTATCTGGACCGGTCATGGGCCTCCTCTAGGTCGACTCGGCCGCAAATGAGTACCTGGTGCGGTGCGTAAAAACATCGCCACTGGGGAGACAAAGGTGGACGAGCGTGGTGCTGGCCACCCACCCCCCTCGTGTGCCGTGACAGCTTTGATATGTGCTCGCTAACAGCACTTGCACCAAGTCTTTTAAGGCCATACGGGGGATCTTTGTTTTTTTGTCTGTGTAAAAACGACTTGGCACACTTCGTCTTGAGATGTTTTTTTTATTCAGTAGACACGTTCACTCGAACAGGCGGAGACCCCCACTGCAACAGCCCAAAGTATCCCGCGCATCTCCCTGATATACGGACCGAGGCCACGTCCCTCTTTCCGAACCTTCTCGTTGGTTCTAGACACTGGCTCCACCAGCAGACTCCACCGTCCTCTTCCGTCACCTGGCCACGCTCCCTTCTCGATCATTCCTGTAGCCACCAGTCCATTTGCACTGTAGGCTGACTCCCCTGTCATTACCTCCCGTGGCCACTCGCACCGCAGGTTGACTCTACTGTCATTAGATCTGTATGTGTCTGTGTGTGTTTGTACGTGTCTGTGTGTGTGTGTGGTCTCCCCACCACCATGTGCTGTAGTCGGCCCCCATGGAGGTGGCCGAGGGGGAGAAGAGCTCCGACTCGGAGCGGCAGGATGAGCCCAGCCCCGGCACGACCGCATCGACACACACGGAGCCCACAGCTCCGCACGGTGAGACTCCCTCCCTAGTCGTGCCAGGGATATCCACGCACACAGCGTGGTGAGAGAGACACATCCACACACTCAGCACGGTGAGAGAGAGACTGGGCCTGTTCGATGTTCTCAGTAATCGATTTCTCTCCTGATTACCCGCTCAGTAACTCGACTAAATGGATAACGTGACAATAGTTCGAGTATAAAATGTCTCACCTCCGTCCCCACCTGGTGTGCTGCTGGACGGGAGGTGGTGGGGAGGGCAAAGGTGTCCGCCGTGGTTCCGGCCACACCACCGACCCCCCACTGCTCGCGAACAGCACTTGCCCCAAAAGTCTGTTAAAGGCTACACGGGGGATCTTTGTCTTCTGTGTGTGCAGCCTCGGACGCGTCGGCCACCGACGAGGGCTCCTTGCCGGCCAGCGGCCCCGACGGCGACGGCGTCGGCGGCGTCGTCGTCATCAAAAAACCGGAGCCGCAGAAGCCGGACGAGAGCAACAGCAGCAGCAACAACAACGCGGACGACGAGGAGGAGGACGAGGAGGAGGAAGACGAGGAGGACGACGAAGATGAGGACGACGACCAGGACGAAGCGGAGGAGGAGGAGGAAGCGGCGGCGGCGACAGAACCGGCAGCTGCGGCAAAGGACAAGGGGGAGACGCCGCCACCGGCCGGGACGCGCGGCCGCGGCGATGGGAACCGCGGCCGCGCCGCCAGCACCGGCGGTAGTGGTGGTGGAGGTGGCGGCGGTAGCGGTGGTGGTGGTGGCGGTGGTGGTGGCGGTGGCGGTGGTGGTGGTGGTGGAGGTGGTGGTGGTCTGGCCGAGCGGGCGGCGGAGGAGCTGGCGATCGGGAAGCCGGGGAAGCACGGCAGGGAGCCGTGTGGAGGGCACGTGGGCAGCAGCAGGGCCGGGGCAGCGGGGGGTAGGGGCAGCGGGCGGGAGAAGCACGTAGGAGGGGGGCAGAGGGAGGGGGGGTCGCCCGGCAGCTCGGAGAGCCTGCCCCCCACTGCGAGCGGAGGTCATCAGCGTGCAGAAAAGCAGGAGTGAGCGCACGTGTGTATGTGTGTGCACGTGTGGGTGTCTGTGGTTGCATGTATGTGTATTCCGTGTGTGCGTGTGTGTACGTCTGTGTGTGTGCGTGTAGGTGCTCGCTATCAGTACCTTCCCCCTGCAATCCGTTGAAGGTTGTATGGGGGATCTTTATCTTTGTGTGCACGTGTAGTGTGTGCGTGTGTACGTATGTGAATGGGTAATTGTGTGCGCATATGTGGTGCGTGCGTGAGCGTCAGAGCAGTGTACAGTGCGCTGCTGTACGAACCTGGCCACGGCTAACATCAGTGGTAAGTGATATACTAAAACTTGTCCTGAGCCTCCGCTAGGTCAGCTCGGCCTTGAATGACAGTACCATGTGTGTGTTTGTGTGTAAGATAATATATGTGTGCATGCATGTATGTACGTGTGAGAATGCATGTATAAGAGAATGTATGCGTATATGTACGTGAGAGTGTGTATGAAGGGGGAGTAACTTTGTGTGTAGGTCAAGTTTGGTGTGCTGGGGTAGCTGAGTGGGGTAGTAAACTCGTCCCACCAGAACACGCTTGGTATGATGGCGTAGCTGAGTGGAGTAGTAAACTCGTCCCACAGAACACGCGTGGTGTGATGGCGTAGCTGAGTGGAGTAGTAAACTCGTCCCACAGAACACGCGTGGTGTGATGGCGTAGCTGAGTGGAGTAGTAAACTCGTCTCACCAGAACACACGTGGTGTGATGGCGTAGCTGAGTGGAGTAGTAAACTCGTCCCACAGAACACGCGTGGTGTGATGGCGTAGCTGAGTGGAGTAGTAAACTCGTCTCACCAGAACACGCGTGGTGTGATGGCGTAGCTGAGTGGAGTAGTAAACTCGTCTCACCAGAACACGCGTGGTGTGATGGCGTAGCTGAGTGGAGTAGTAAACTCGTCCCACAACACGCGTGGTGTGATGGCGTAGCTGAGTGGAGTAGTACACTCGTCCCACCAGAACACGCGTGGTGTGATGGCGTAGCTGAGTGGAGTAGAACAAGCGGGTTAAACGTGAGAACCGCGTTGGTTTCCATTTATTGCTGTCGCTTGAAAGGAGAGATCTCCACGTTTCAGCCGACTTGATTTCACCGGCGTGGAACTTTCCGCCGGCCGCGTTTATAATCCAAGCGCAGTTTTCTCCAGGAGCTGGGGTTGCCGACGTTGTTTGAGGATTCCTTCTCTAGAGCTTTCACCACGCGGGGGCGTCTTCAGGAGTTGAAAATAACACTGGTCAACACACTTTTTCTGGCATAAGGTATTCCAACGGTTTTTAAGGTAATTTTGGGGTGCTGATTCCAAATCTGGCATCAGTTTTTGTCCATCACATCAGGTTTTTGAGATATCAAATATTGCATTTTCAATAAAAACTGCATAAGAAAAATATTAAATAAATGTGGATATCTACATAAAATTATATTATAAACACACTATCCTAAAAATACAGCACCATATTTTAACACTAAAGCAGTCACTGACTCGCAACAACTTGCAATCATAAGTGACAGTTAATTTCGGGTAAAATCTATGAAAATGGGGTATGCCGATAGCATAAAAATGATGTGATAGAGCAAATCTGAGGTCAGATTTGGAATCAGCACCCTGAAATTAGTCTAAAACAGCTGTAAAGGTCCAGGCCAGAAAAAAATGTTTTTTTGTTGTTGACCAGTGTAGTAAATCCCTCATGGAGCCCGCACTTACATGTCCAACTTAGAACACAAACTTGTGGTGTTCGGTTGACTGGCCTTCTACAAGAAACTTTCTTCAATTTGCCCAAAACAAGGCGACGGGGCTGTAACGGTGACGGTAAAAACACCTCTGGCCGAATATGTTCATTGACCACGATCTCATCGCTCAGTGCACACTGTCACGATATGGGCCTGGCCCTGTTTTCCTGGGAGTTGAACGGTTGCCCTCTTTCCAGTCGAGAAAGAGACCACGTTGTTAGAGAGGTGTACAGGTAAAGTTAAAAAACATATCTTCTTGGTTCTTTCGGTAAAGTCACGTAGAATGGAAATAACAATACTCTGTCTTCTAGACTCTGTCTTCTCGACAGACCTGTTCTTCACCTGAGGACGGCTGCTTGCGTTGTGGCCGAAACGTGAGAATGATTTTATTATGTTTTATTTTTATCATTTTATTATTTCCATTCTACGTGACTTTACCGAAAGAACCAAGAAGATGAATCCCTGCAGTCACGAAAGCTTTAAATTAAAAAAAACACACACTTGACTGACTTTCCACTTGATGGCATTTCCAAGGCAGTTCTGCAGTATCGCCTTCAGCGAGCTGTCTGCCCACCACGGGGTGAAGCATCTTCCGCCATCGCCTCGTTGACACGCTTCGTGGTGGCGCGATGGGAGCTTTACCCACATCCTGCTGATGAAACTCGGAAGGTCGAAACCCGGAGGTGTCGTTTTTGCCCGGCTTGAACAATGCATCGGTAACACATTGGTCAAGAAGGGTGTATACCGCACGTGGTGTGCCGGGGTGTGGACATTTTTGACGGTTCACGGACCCGGCTTAAATTAAAGCCCTGGCCGTTGACACGTCTGAGCATGTTTGATGTTGTGTATCAGCCTATACGCACGTGTTGATTTCCCCAACTCGGTATTGACCGCGATAGAGAATGTGTTTCGCTGCTTAGTTAAGATTGCTGGTGTTGGACAGGGTACAGGGTGTGTAGTGGGTGACGTGGTGGTGGTGGTGGTGGAAATAACCCTTACTGTACTATTGTCAATATTGTCAATGTTATTGCTAGGTTTAAAGGAATGTTGTTGGGCCCCCCTCCCCCCGTCGCGGTATGTCCGTCATTCCAGGCAAGCTTTGTTCATCGAGCTTCCTGTGTTGCCGCCAGAGGCAAGTGGAACCAATTGAGCCGAGGTTCCGTTGAAAACGGTAAAACGCTCTGGACTCGTCGGTGTGCAGGGCCCCCCCCCCTTCTGCCCCCCCCTTCTGCCCCCCCTTCTGCCCCCCCCTTCTGCCCCCCCCCCTCCTTCTGCCCCCCCCTTCTGCCCCCCGAGTGGTCGTGCGATGGCTCTGAATCGCGCCTGCGCTGTCGCTTTTAAATCGAAACGCAACCCAGGAAACATCAACTTTCGTCTCTTTATTTTTGTCGTAGTCGCGCACACTTCCCCGGCTCTGTGATGTCCCCAGACCATCGGGCCCAAGCTCGGAGCTACGTGAATGAGAGAGGGAGAGAGGGAGAGAGAGAATAAGTATAACCCGTAATAACAAAGTTTTTCACTATAAATCCTTTATATGCGTGGCGGCTAGAGTCCTCTCGTCCTCTGGCTTGAGATGGCTGCCACCTATGGGTCAGATGATTGTCTGCCAGTATTAAGCAATTGGTAATTAATATTAAATTTGTTTTCCCTAAACATTTAAACTTATTTTAACCCACGCTGCCACGGCAGGAAGGGTCCCAAGCAACTCGAGCAAGATAACCCCAAGTCCCACTCCTTCCCCGGCTCCATGAAAGACATCTGAGCTTGAGTGTAAATTATAATAAACCTAATTCTAGATTTGAAGCTTTCATGACTGCAAAGGATTCATATGCTTAGGTTTTTTTCGGTAAAGTCACGTAGGTCATTTTATTTTTTTACCTACGTGACTTTACCGAAACAAACCTAAGCATATAATAAACCTAGCAAGCCAATTCAATTTTTAAATGCCAATTAATTTGACAACTCTACCTTGTCTGCATCTCGTCTCTCCTCTCAACACACGTTTGTCTATGTGTCTCTTATCTCGGTCCATCTCTCTCTTCTGTCATCCCACTAGGTTTTTAAATGTTCATAGAGGGGGGGCTAGCAACATCAACTGCCCAGGACACCCCACCTGTGTACAAGAGCAGAGTTATTTGTTTTATGGGTTGCGTCTGCCTGTTACAATCTCGTGTATCCGGAGTTTTGTTTTGCCTTGAGTATCTCTTTATTATTATCATTATAGTAATCTTGATTATGATTGTGGCATGGCCCCTGTTTCACCCTCGCCTTGCCCGGCACGCAAACGCCGCCCTCCCCGCGATTCCTCGTCCAATATCGGAGCACCGTTGTATGTTGGTGGCATCGCTACGCAAGGGGTGATCTGGCAGAGATCTGGCAAGGCTTGGTTGCAACTGAGAGCGATTGTGTCTTGTCGTACATGATCTGTATTTTGGTAAAGAATTGATTGAATTTTCAGTGCTTTCTCGATGTTTTCGACTCGTTTCGTCATTGGGTTACGCCTAACGGTTGTGAGTTCCGTGACTGCCGTATCGTCTCACCGCTGTCCCACGGACTCGGCCAAAGGTGCACACATCAAGGTGAAAAACTGGCGTCCCGAAGAAAAGACTAGAGTGCGATTCGAACTCGGACGAGGATTTGGAATCGGACTTAAGTAAGATTCATTTCGTAAGATCGGCTTCACGGTCGGTGCTAGAGTGAGATCTAGGGAATTCAAACTCGCAGCAGAGCGGGGATTTACTCGTACTAGATTTAACTGAGACTCGAGAGGCTAATGTGAATGTTTTACTCCCAATTAAAGTTGCATGAAAACAGTGTAACAAAAACAATGTTTGTTCCTGGGTAGTAAGTGTTATTTCCTAATTTTAACTTTGGAGCTTTCGTGACTGCAGGAATTATTCTTTGGTTCTTTCGGTAAAGTCACGTATAAAAAATCTTTTTTATTAAATGTATTATTTTTTTCTTTATACGTGACTTTACCGAAAGAACCAAAGAATATTTCCTAATTTCTTATGCCTCAAAAGTACAGAAAATGGCTATTATTCCCCCACAAACTTTGATTTTGTGACCAGGACAGTGATATTTAGAAATTTACCTATTTTCAATGAGAAAAACGTGTGCATTTGTGTCTTTTGTTCACAAAGTCCTGGTCACAAAAGCAAAGTTTGTAGTGAATAATAGTTATTTTCTATACTTTTTTAAGGCATAAGCAATAAAAAATAACACTTAGTACCCAGGAACAAAAATTGTGTTACTCTTTGTTTCTTTCGGTAAAGTCACGTAGGTGAAACAATCAAAAATAATTTTAATTAATATATAAATACATTAAATCACGACGTTTCCATTGCAACACAAGCAATCATCATCAGGTGTGACAACCACGGCAAGAAAAAATTGCGTTACGTAGTCAAATTGTGTTACATAGTGAAATCAATACTAATCGATTGTATTCTGACGTGAACGTGATTTGATGATATAGGCCGAGAGAGGATTGGGTAGGGGGTGAGGGGTTAGGAATAGAGCTGAGATTGAGTTGGGGGGTTTGGTGTCGGGGGATTTTGGTCCGTGTCGGGTGTTGTGACACGGACGGTTGGAATCGCACACCAGTTCTTATTTTCGGGCCGCACACTTTTGTGTTTTTTGCCAACGTCGCCCCTTGAACAAAACGCGAGAGCGCCCAGAAATCTTGGCACCAGCCCTGCTTAGGAATGGGGGGAGGTGGGGGGAGGCAAGGCCACGCAGAATCACACGAACAAGATAAAGTGAAGAACGAGCAGATACATTTGACAAAAGCGAAACGTTGAGAGGGCCATACTTGGCATTACCCATTACCACGCTAGCCAACCAGACCCTCTCTCTCACTGCTTCCGTTTGGAATGTTTCTCATGTTTTGGGGGGGGGGGGGGTCTGCCTTCCTCCTCGACCTCCTTTCCTGGGCAATCGTCTCCACGTCCACTCCACAGCCCTTCACATCCCCGGTTCACCACTTGGTTCCACCTCTGTCTAGGCCCTTGCCTCTCTCTCGGTCTCTGCCCCTGGCGCCAAAGCGTGCGTTATATTTCTTACTCGTGTACACGTCCTTCCGAGCCAGATGAGTTCACTTTCGGCTACACTAGCTCCAGCTCTGACCACAACGAAATCGTTGACTCAAAACAGTGGCGCAGTTGGTCGTCGTGCCATTCTCACGAGCGGAAGGCTATCGCGAGGGCCACGCTTCGCGAACATAGTCCGCAATGGTTTCACAGTAGGGGGCAACGTTGTGCTCTGTGCAATTAATCCCGATTGAATATTTTGTGGGTGCATTTTCAAAAACGTTGGGCCGTGACGCCAGCGCAAAGTGGCCTGTGCTTTTCGAACGACGCCACGGGCCTCTTCAACGGTCACCGTGGAGCAGACGGTGCACAGTATTTCAAGGTTAATACACATGGCAGTATTAACTAGGGTGGCTTTTTGAATTCGAACCACAAACCCGTTTGAACAAGCGGCGTCGTGCGCTACCGTTGGGCCATATCAACAAAACTGCCACTAACCCTGCCCCTGACCCAACTCTGTAAATGGACCATGACGACATTGAGTCATAACTAATTCTCGGGCCATATTGTGTGAAGATGTGTTGTACAACCTCATCCAGCCGACACAGCCAAACAAATACAGTTGCCACGTGAACACACGGCCAATGCATCCCTGTTCTTGGTTCTTTCGGTAAAGTCACGTAGAAGGGAAGTAATAAAATAATAGAAATAAAACATAAAATAAAAAGAAAACATGTATTATTTATAAAATAATACAAATTAACCATATTTTATTTTTATTATTTTATTCCCTTCTACGTGACTTTACCGAAAGAACCAAGAAAATGAATCCCTGCAGCCACGAAAGCTTTAAATCGAAATTTCAATGCATCCCTGCTTCAGCACACCGATGTTGGAGAGAGATCCACACATTTAACAATAAGCTTCGCTCGTAATTACGAGCAGCATCATCGGCCTCCAGTTTTGGGCCTTGAACGATGATGCAGCTATCAGTGAAAGGTCGTACGTTATCGTTAAATGTGTGCGCATCTCTCCCTGACGATAACATCGGTGCGCTGAAACAAGTCATATTTTTTGGCACATTTGTTGACGGTGCAACTTTATTTCGCCACATTGGGTGGAGGAGGGTGCACGAACACAACGTTGGCATTTTTATCCGAAAATAAATCAAATAAATTCTGAATCGTAACATTGTTTACGAAAGACGACGCGTTAAAATGAACCAAGGACATATTTTTTCAATGCCTTTCGTTCACATGTCCACTGCTGGTAATCACGGTACCAGGTTCGGTGCGGTTTTTTTTAAACCTAAGCGGGGGTGATGTTTTATTTGTTTTGTATTTTTAACATTCCATGGCTGTGACTTCACATGTTGGAAAAATAAATAAATGTGCGTTTGGAAACTCGGAAATGAAACGGGACACTTTCTTTACGAACTAAACGGAGGGTTTCTCGAAATACGCAAATCATTTTCAGCATCTTCTTGGTTCTTTCGGCAAAGTTACGTAGAAGGGAAATAATACAAATAATACAAATAAAACATAATAAAATAAAATTCTCACGACGTGTCGGCCACAACACAAGCAGCCGTCCTCAGGTGAAGACAGATCTGTCTGAGAGAGAGCGCTCCAATGAACACTGCTAAGCGTGGCAGCGTACTTTAATCTGGGTGGGAGAAGCAGCATGTTCAGAATGTGGCTCCTCGGGTGTTATTAACCAGAACACATTCACATCATATTACAGCCGTGGTGGCCTCCCTGCACTGGCTGCCAGCCTCACATGAGACAGTTTAAAATCCCGTTGTTAACCATGCAAAGCGGTGAACCATCTTGCCCCAGCCTACATCATTGACATGCTGCACCCACGTGTCCCGTCAAAGTCCCTAAGATCTGGGAATGGGGATCTTCTCTGCATTCCAAGTAGCCTCGGCAAGGTAAGGTAACAGTTAAAAGGTAAAAGCAACGAGCCTACATTTTACCCTACCTTTTACCCTGACCACATACAAACTACCCGATTACAGGGTAGTTACTGGGGTACTACACATGAAAAAGGTTTATAACGGTAAACGCTATAGGTAGAGCGCTTTATTCATATAGAATATTCTCGATTATTCCAATTTAACACGCTTTCTTTTAACTCACTCTGGTGTTGTATCCTCAAATCTTGTAACTCAATTTAAACCCACTTCCCAATGTGGTATCGACTTCAAACTTGGTATACTTATGTCATACTGATGACAACACTATATTCTATAATACAAAATAAAAATATTTTTTTACATTATTTTTAATATGTTATGTTTCGGCTTGGGTCTAATTGTTCACGCTCAACTGACGTTGGCTGTAATTGGCCACGGCCCCTTACGTTGTGGCAAGCTTCGGGGCCATTTCCTGGAGTCGTGGAGTTCTGCCATTACTAGGACATTTCATAAAAGCGTGTGTTTTTTAAAGTTTCTTTAAATATTACTTATTAAATGGAAGCCACGGATTGCGCCACGGAGCTTTTAGCGGTAAACAAGGTACCGTATTTACCGGGTAACACTGCGTGCTACCTTTACCCTACCGGGTAATTCTTGCGAGCTACCTTTACCCTACCCTTTTACCTTACCCCTTGGCATGTCGACACCTTTACCCTTCTACCCGGTAAAAAGGGTAAATTACCTTACCTTGCCGAGGCCTGATTCCAAGGTCAAGGCTTCGGTCTGTGTGTGACCGAGTATTTTTTTCCCCGTGAAGTCCTCAGGCTATGGAACGCTCTTCCACGAGATATCATCGATTTCTCTGATTCTGTGCACATTTTATAAATGCGTCTTAAAACCTATTTATGGATGCTTCGGATTTGAAACGTTTAGTTCATTTATTAAATTGATTATATAATATTTTGTTATGCTGTCTGCTGCTGCTGTGTCCTGTACAGCGCTTTGAAATCCTTGGTGAAAAGCCACAATATAAATGGAATTAGTATTATTCCTATTGTGACGTTGATCGGACGCATGTTTCCCATCGACAGAGAAGCTGGAATCAAGTTATCAAGAACGGAAATGGACTGATTTGAATTGTCATCGTTCCGATCGTTTACCCGGAAAAGCCTCACTCTGTCTCAATACTTTTTTTAGGAGGAAACGAATGCTGCTGGGGCCACCAGCTGTTACAAGTGGAAGCTTTGTTAGATACAATCAGCATTTCGGTATTTCATGAATAATTTGATGCTGCTGCTGCTGCGTTGGCAGTAGCGCACAAGCACAATTAACAACAAAAACTCAACGCATTTGTCAACAACAGCAACAAACACAATGTGGCCTTAAAATAAGTAAAAAATATATCAATAATTGGCGACGTTTCAGGCAAGTGACCCTTCACGTGCCGTCCAATATTTTACGCACGTGGGCCCCCACGTGGGCCCCCACCTTTACTGGTCTCGCACCACGTGACGCGAGGCGTCCAATCGCAGAGGGGCTCGCGTCGCTGCCATGGTAACCGACCTACGCCGCACCGTTGCAGCCACGGACCTCCCGATCACCACCACCACCAACATCGCTAAAGTTTCACCGTTCGAATGCAAACGATCTTACTTGCTTTCTTATAAACAACAAGACAGTCTCAGGGCGCGTTAGACGACACCCGCGTCCTCTGTCGTGGCCGAGCGCGACGCGTGGAAATGGTGAGCGCGGTTGTTTTTTTTCTTTCCAAATCGACAATTTCTAGTCGAGGCCTTTTTTTCGAGGCCCTCTTCTCTGTGTGTGTCTCTGTGTGTGTCTCTCTGTGTGTGTCTCTGTGTGTGTCTCTCTGTGTGTGTCTCTGTGTGTCTCTGTGTGTGTCTCTGTGTGTGTCTCTCTGTGTGTGTCTCTGTGTGTCTCTCTGTGTCTCTCTGTGTGTCTGTGTGTGTGTTTCTGTGTGTCTCTGTGTGTCTCTCTGTGTCTCTGTGTGTGTCTCTGTGTGTCTCTGTGTGTCTCTGTGTGTCTCTCTGTGTCTCTGTGTGTGTCTCTGTGTGTGTTTCTGTGTGTCTCTGTGTGTCTCTGTGTGTCTCTCTGTGTCTCTGTGTGTGTCTGTGTGTGTCTCTGTGTGTGTCTCTGTGTGTGTCTCTGTGTGTTTCTGTGTGTCTCTGTGTGTTTCTGTGTGTCTCTGTGTGTCTCTGTGTGTGTCTCTGTGTGTGCCCCACAAAGTCACCGGGCGTTCGTCTTCTTCTTCTTGGGGGCGAGTTACACGGCGGACGACGAGGCAATTCGCGTCGGTGTGTGTGTGTGTTTGCCATGCCGAAACTGTTGTTGTTGTTGTTGTGTTAAGTCGTCACGAGCCGTGGTGTATCTACTGCTGGATGATCTGTGTGTGTGTGTGTTTGCCATGCCGAAACTGTTGTTGTTGTTGTTGTGTTAAGTCGTCACGAGCCGTGGTGTATCTACTGCTGGATGATCTGTGTGTGTGTGTTTGCCATGCCGAAACTGTTGTTGTTGTGTTAAGTCGTCACGAGCCGTGGTGTATCTACTGCTGGGTGATCTGTGTGTGTGGGTGTGTACACCCACGTGGGCGCGCTTCCATGACAATGATTACAATTGTACGTTTGTATTAACGATTAGGGGGCCGTTCATAAATTACGTCACGCACCTAGGGGGGGGTCAGACATTTGTGACGATGTGTGACGTCACATCAAAATGCGCAACTTTAAATAAATATAGACAACACGTTCTACTTAATTAAATTGACTTTTTAATGAATGTTTTCTCCTACAACATCAGAGTGCAGCGCCACACTAAATACGCACTACAATGACAATAGTTTAAAGCGATTTGAAGCATGTTTTATATAATTTTTTTGGGGGGGGCAGAGCTTTGTGACGTCATATTTGAGGGGGGGGGAGTCTGACTTTTTGTGACGCCGTGTGACGAAGGGGGGGGGGGGGTCAAAAATCGTCCAAAATCGCGTGACGTCATTTATGGAAGGCCCCTTGGATCTTAATGATACATTGAAGTGAAAGTGATGTATTGCTCAATACATCACTTTAAAGCTTTCGTGACTGCAGGGATTCATCTTCTTGGTTCTTTCGGTAAAGTCACGTAGAAGGGAAGTAATAAAATGATAAAAATAAAACACAATAAAATAATTGTCACGACGTTTCGGCCACAACGCAAGCAGCCGTCCTCAGGTGAAAACCAGGTCTGTCGAGGCGACAGAGTCTGAATGAAACAGCACACGAGCTTGGAGCATATATATGCTCCAAGCTCGTGTGAGAATTATTTTATTATGTTTTATTTTTATCATTTTATTACTTCCCTTCTACGTGACTTTACCGAAAGAACCAAGAAGAAGAACAATACATCACTGTCCGCTGTTTACATATCTGGAGCCACTGTTTCAAATTCCTCTGACGGGGGCGAAACTCATAGACTCTATATATACCAATACTGTGTATATGTATAATTTATATAGCCATTATTATTATTGCGTCTGAATGTTAAACTTTGATGATAATGTAATAGCTTGTTATCATGTTAGATGCGTTGTATGGGGCCGTCCATAAATGACGTCACGCGATTTGGGACGATTTTTGCATCCCCCCCCCTTCGTCACACGGCGTCACAAAAGTCAGACCCCCCCCCTCAAATATGACGTCACAAAGCTCTGCCCCCCCAAAACCATATTTACATTTTGAAAATAAAACATGCTTCAAATCGCTTTAAACTATTGTCATTGTAGTGCGTATTTAGTGTGGCGCTGCACTCTGATGTTGTAGGAGATAACATTTATTACAAAGTCTATTTAATGAAGTAGAACGTGTTGTCTATATTCATTTAAAGTTGCGCATTTTTATGTGACGTCACATTTCTCACCCCCCCCCCCGTCACACATCGTCACAAATGTCTGACCCCCCACCCCCCCTAGGTGCGTGACGTCATTTATGGACGGCCCCTATGGCGTGAACTTTGAGTGCAACAAAGTGCTTTTGTAAGGGGTGTTGTGAAGTAGGGTAATTGTCCGAAACGTCAGCTGTAAAAAACGTTTATTTTTTCACGCCACAGAGTTATTGACGAATGTGTTGGGTGGGGTGAGGGTTTGTTATTTGTGCTCTTGCATCACTGCCAGTGCAGCGTCACCAAATAAGTAGTTTAAAAATATACATTTGTTCGTGGATGCAGAAACAGGTTTCAATAATAAATCCAGACTTCAATGTCTTAACAACAGAGTCCGGTACCGTCCCCTGACTTCCCTCGTCTGAACGTTGATGATGAACGCTCGGTTGGTTCCCTTTAATAAAATAGGACCCAGCGTGCGAGCGAGTGAAACGCACTTCTGTTGAACTTATCCCACTTTTCCAATTTTGTCCAGATTGTGCGAACGATGTCACGCCATGAGACACAGAATCCCCATTCGGACATTTCACAGAATGGTGCTCCCCCATCCCCCCCGGCCCCATCCCCCCCCACCCCCCGGCCCCCATCTCCCCCACATCACTCCCCTCCCCCCCACATCACTCCCCCATCCCCTCCACATCACCCCCCATTCCCCCCCATATCCCCCCCCATATCCCCCACCCCCCACATCCCCCTTTCCCCCCCCAAACCCCCCCCATTCTCCTCCACCCCCCGCGGCCCCCATCCCCCCCCCCGGCCCCCATCCCCCCCCGGCCCCCATCACCCCCCCCCCCCACATCACCCCCCACCCCACATCACCCCCCTCCCATCCCCCCCACTTAACCCCCCTCCCATCCCCTACACATCACCCCCCCCCGTATCCCCCCATATTCCCCCATATCCCCCCCCCCCACATCCCCACATCCCCCTTCCCCCCCAAATCCCCCCCCATTCTCCTCCACCCCCCCGGCCCCCATCCCCCCCCCGGCCCCCACCTCCGCCACCACCGCTCCACCGTGCTTGTTGAGAATGGTCAGCAGAAGCAGATACACTGCACGTGTTTTAGTAGTCCAGAACTACCACAGCAGTAGTACACCTAACTACCACTAGTACACCTAACTACCACTAGTACACCTAACTACCACTAGTGCACCTAACTACCACTAGTGCACCTAACTACCACTAGTGCACCTCATTTGCCAGTAAAAAATATGATAATTGTTTTTTTACCCTTTTATCTGGCAACAAAACTGACACCTTTTTTACGAGGAGTCATGTTTGCATAGACCACAATACCTGCGTTCATACTGCAAACAAAACTTCAAGGACAGTGCATACATTATCAGAGTTATGTTTTTTGTTTGCATTATGACTGCAGGTATTGTGGTCTATGCAAACATGACTCCTCGTAAAAAAGGTGTCAGTTTTGTTGCCAGATAAAAGGGTAAAAAACCAATTATCATACCACAGTACTTTTAAGAGAATTTACCACTTTGCTACGCTAGAGGGCAGTACTTTTCGTCCCACCATTCTGCAGAAGAAGAAAACATGTTCAATGAATTTACCCTGAACATTTTTGTCCCTTTTGCATATTAATTACTGTTTTAAATCAACCTTACTTGAAAAATTATTACGTTTTAGAGAATTAAATGGGGCTCACAAGACATCGGGAACCACCCTGTACTTTGACTCCGTTGGCAATGGTACACAGTAAAAAATGTCATCACCATTGTCATTCTTTTAGTGTATGGCGAGCAGGTTTAAGTTTGTGAGCCATGTGACGATATCTTCTGGAGTAGCATAACTAAATGCTGCCCGGCTCGCCAGAGAGCGGGCGTAGAACTTCGTTGTTGGCGATGTTGGTGGTCCATTGCGTGGTTCGGGTGGCCGCAGTCCCTGCCCCGTGGGGTCATCTTTCACGTCCCGCGTGTGGATGAAGCGTTAGCGAGCAGCAGCAGCGGCAGGCGGCGAGCGGTCGCCGTTGAGAAGCGGTTCATGATGAAGCCGCCACAGTTTCCTTGGCAAAACAGAGCCCTGCGGGGCTGTGGTGGCACCCCCAGTGAGGTCGACTCAGCCTTGAAACGTAACGTCAGCACTGGGGGTAGATAAATGCAACCAGACGTGGTGCTGGCCACCCACCCCCCTCGCGTGCCGTGCCGGCCTTCATGCGGTGCTCGCTAACAGCACTTGCCCCAACAGTCTGTTAAAGGCCATCCTTGTCTTCGTGTTGATTTTTCTGTGGGGTGCGTGCCGGTGCGTGTCGGTGCGTGTGCCCCGCGCGCCGGATGCAGGCTGAGCTGGGCCTGAACGAGCACCACCAGAACGAGGTGATCCAGTACATGCGCTTCGCCCGCTCCAAGCGCCTGCTGCGTCTGAAGACGGTCGACTCGTGCGTGCAGGACCTTAAGGAGAGCCGGTAGGCTGCACCCTGCACCACCTCCTCGGCTATCCTCGCTCTGCTGTCCCTCGCTCAACTTCCCATGCGCAGCCACCGTCAACTCAGTTATGCTCACTTAGCCACCCTGCATCAGCCACCTTCACTTAGCTACCCTCCCTACTACATGTTAAATCAGCTTCCCTCTCTTCCAGCCACCGATGACAGTGAGAGCAGAGACAGTTAAAGGAGACGGTGGTGGAGGTCAAGATGAATGAGGTGGCGGTGACGATAGTCAACGTCGATGCAGAGGGCAGTGATGACGGTGATGCTGGCAATGATGATGTCTGTAATGGGTTTGTTTTTTGCGTGTGGGGAGTGGTAGCGTAGTAGTTCGTGCACTGCGCTACTATGCACCCAGCCCCCTGGGTTTGATGCCTGGCCACGCCTAACATCAGTGCCGAGTGATAGCCGAATCGGTCGCGGGCCTCTCCTAGGTCGACTCGGCCTTAAACGAGTACCTAGTATGGTGTGTAAACATCAGCAAAAATGTGGCCACACCACCACCCTCGTGTTGCCGTGCCAGCCTTAACTAGGTGCTCGCTAACAGCGCTCGCCCCAACAGTCCGCGCGGCTACGGCCGGGGGGAGCGGGTGGGGAATCTTCGTCTTCTGCGTGCGCGCACACACGCAGGCTGGTGGACGACACGTTCACGGCGGAGGAGGTGGCGGACATGCTGGAGGGGCTGCGCGTGGTGGTGCGCGGGGAGCTTGAGTCGGAGCTCATCCACACCGCGCACACCAACGTGCTGCTGCTGCGCCAGCTCTTCAGCCAGGCCGAGCACTGGCACCTCAAGCTGCAGGCCGATGTCTCCGAGCTGGAGAACCGGTCTCTGCCCGCCCCCTATCACATGTCCACCCTCGCCCACTCGCCCACTTGCCCTAACCTCGCTCACTTGCCTACTCGCCCCTGCTGTCTCACTACCGCCCGACTGCAATGTCTTTTAACTGCTACTCCCTGATCACCCACCCACCCTCGCCCACTTGCCCACTCGCCCACTCGCCCCTGGGGTCTCACTGCCGACCGGCTGCGATGTCCTGTAACTGCCGCCACTGCCGACGGGTCTCGGGGCGTGGTCGTTCTTGTAAAATAGCCGCGTAGCTCAATGGGGCCTCACCGCTGAGAACCGAGTCTGAATTGAATGGCCTAACTCTGCCACGTGTTCTTTCGGGTCGTTGCCGCGCGTTGATCGGCATGACGTTCTTCGACGCTTCGCTCCCGTACGCTGGCAGCTTCTGCTTGTAACCGAGTTCACTTCCCTAAGAAGCTTTCAGCAGATGGAGCAAAACGTCGGGATGACGGTGCCGAACAACGCGCGGCAGAGGTCGCAACCGGGTACCCGATACCCGTACCCTACCCGATATCCGGCTACCCGTACCCGGCCGGGTACGGATAGCATGGGTGGTATGTGCCCTGGTGCAAGAAATTATACCGTGCCCCCCTCTTCCCTTCCACTATTTCGAATAATCGATAAAGATCAACACTCAAGCTCACGAGTAGGTATCATTTTTTGATGCCTATACGTTGTATGTAAAGGGCTCATGTGACCTCCAGCCACAAGTGACTGCCTCATTCACGACGGTGTTTAAAGAAAAACTCGAGTTGAATTGAATAGGGAACATTAATTTAATTGCTAGCAAGGCAAATCTTAACATCCCTAATTGTCGAAGTGTTGACTGCGAATTGTGGACCGTCTCCCCCACCATCTGAAGCGCTGCCCTCTTCCTTGTGATGTTCTGACATTGCCTGTGTTTGCTCTGTATACATTGGTTTTTTTTTCTCTTCTGCTTAACAGAGAGCTCCTGGAGCAGATAGCCGAGCTGGAGAAATCTGAGTTCATTGCAGCCGGAAAAAAGGTACGAGAATTCTGGAGGCTCTTGAAGTCCTTTTATAATACATTACTAACTGCTCCGGCTTAACTTGCACTGTCTGTAAAGCCAGGCCCACCTCTGAGCAATTAAGTTGTGCAGCTCGGTTGCATGCAACTGCATTACAAGTACAGTAGAACCTCGGAGATCGAACGCCCCAGAACTCGAACAATTTGGTGATCGAAAAAAATTTTCGACCATTTTTTGCCCCGGACATCGAGCAAAAATTCGGAGGTCGAACAACTGGAAAGAATCTGTTTGGGCCGAGACCCGTAACCAGGGCGACCGAGACAAAGGCGAATGACCCAGTTTACACGTAGCTCTCGCCCAGTGCAGACCCGCAAAACATCGTTCCGTTAACTTTTTCGTTAATTTCATTTATTTTAGTGGTTTTTTTGTGTTTATCCATACACAGTGGCTCCTACAAAGGTTAGTAGCAGTGACTCACAGTTAGTGCTAGAAAAAAGGCAAAGAAAAGAAAGAACCCCAGAAGGGCAGTTACCCAAAGTTTTTATGGAGGGGGACTACCCTTCCAAGCAACACCGACACCTCCACCACCCCTCCTCACCACCTTCCACTCAAGCCAACCACTCTCCTTACTAGAGGTAAAGTGAAGTTCAATGTTCATTTATTCTATTAATTACAGCTGTGTTTCTTGTTTTTTGTATGCTTTTATGTACTGTACTGAAATTTAATATTGTAAACTTGTGTAAAAATGGCCCATAATAGGAGCATCCTTGGGTGGGGAACCAATCTATGCTATTTCCATTCATTCTTATGGGGAAAATTGATTCGGTGTTCGAACAAATCGGTGTTCGAACACGGTTTTGGAACGATTTAAGTTCGATCTCCGAGGTACCACTGTACTTGGACGTCTCTGCAACTGCGCAACAGGGTTTCTTACTCGACTTTTGACACATTTCACTCATCGCGCGCCACATTTGTGTGAACTACGATTGGTTGTTACGATTGTTGGTTGCGCGATGCAGTTTCCCTACTGCGCGACGACTCGCCCGGGTGTGTGGGACAAAGCGGTGGATCACGTTGTGTGATTTCGAGGCGAGACATTTGGGTGTTGCGTAACTGATTGCTCAGGTGTGGACGCACATTTAAAGAGATATATAGAGGGTGTCACTTACATGTTTCTGTGGTCAAATAAAGGACATTGCTTTATTGAAATAATGGAATGAATGCACTCAATTACAAGATCATTGTATACAGCAGAGATTACCAAACACCAGTATCATTTGTGACCCTTCCCGGTGCGTCTCTCGCACGTTTCGTAGCCTTGTGCGTCCAGCTACAAATGAAACTGTTGCACGCTCGCGGCGCGCCTGCTGGTTGTCAAAACGCGACGGGCTGCTGTGCTGCGTTCGTTGCAGCCCAGCACGGAGGTCAGCAAGGCGAAGCTGACCCCCCTGAGCGACGTCGGCGCCACCGAGCTGCTCAACAAGGTGCGTGCTGCTGCTGCTGCTGCCCTTTCCCCGGTAGCCCTCGGCATCTAAAGCCCAGATGTGGGCAACCTACCCTGGCTCGAGCCATCGATGCGACGGACCTCACCGACGACTTTTCAAAAATGACGATCCCCCCCGTGGCGCTCCTCGTATCCAGCCGCAGTCGTCGCTCGCGCACGCGGCATGCGGCGCCCCACCTCCTGTCGCGACCGGGTCACGTGGGCCCATCACGTGGCTGCTGCTGCTGCTTCCCAGGTTTGGTGGCGGTTGGGGGTACTGCAACGCCACGACGTTTGCAATCAGGGAAATCCTGGAATCGTTGGCACCATCCACCGTGGCCGCACCCCCCTCCGTCTTTCAACCAACCAACAAAGGGAGGCCTGGGGTGTGTCTGTGTGCGTTGATGCAGGAGATTCAGCGGCTAAGAGAGGAGAATGAAAAGCTGAAAGTGCGCATCAAGATGGTGGAGACGCAGGTGAGAGGGCCCTTGAGGCTCTGGGGGGGGGGGGGGGGGCGGTGGAGGCGGTGGGGCGCGTGGGGTTGGCGCATCGTGCAGCCAGCTACCCCCCACATTTTGTTTGTGGGGGGCAGTGGGGAGCGTGGGGTCGGCGTTTGGGGGGCAGTGATGTAGCTGAGCGGTGGCGCGTTCGCCGTTTGTTCCGGAGTTTTGTGGTTCAATCGAGAGGAATAATAATTTGCTCGCACGCAAAATACATTTTGCAAGATGGACAAATTACTGTGCGGCCAGTCGGTGTGTGGTGAGAATACGCCGTCACCGCGTCACCGCGTCACACAAATAAAACTAAACTTTTTATTTTACCAGGTAAGGCCCACTGAGCTATGTAGCGCTTTTTCCGAAGTGTCCTGGCCATCACAAATGACAGCTCAACGAAGTGGGCTTATCATCATCGCGTGGAAATTAATATCAGCCAAATAACTCGAAACACACATCAATTATAAATTATAAATTGCGGAGGGAAACACCAGAGAAAAATCCACGCGACCACCATGCAAACGGTAGGACTGGATTATCTGCCCGAGCCACCTCGCCCGCCGCTTGTGTGTTTGACCGCTTCCCCTTTGCGCCAGGCGACCAGCGCACTCGAGGAGAGGTCCCGTCTGGAGAGAAGCCTCAAGGAGGCGTCACTGCACCCACCTGCAGATCAGGTGACCTCCGCACTGATGGGGCCGAGCTATTGTGGCCAACCGTTGTCCATGGGTCACCGGTGTTGCTTCGAATACACAACTGGCTACAGGCACACGCACGCGCGCGAGGCAGACGCAACTATGTGACACGCTTGCAGGATACGTTTTATGTCCGGCAGTGTGTTCTCTTGCTGCACGCTGCAGTGTCATCGGCTCTCCACTTGCATTCTGCTTGACGTTTGCGCGTGCATTTGACATCCTTGCAATGTTGACGCGCGCTCGTATGTCAGCGTGGGGGGCGGTGGCGTAGCGGTTAACTTGGCGACCCGAATTCGATTCCCACCCACGTCCAACGGTGGCGATTATCTGAACCGGTCCAGGGCCTCCCCTTGGTCGACTCGGCCTTAAATTAGTATCTGGTGCGCTGTGTAAACAGTAGGATTGGGGAGACAAAGGCGGCCGGGCTCAGTGCGAGAACACCCACCCAGTTTCGTATGCCGTGGCAGCTTCATTAGGTGCTAGCTTAGCCTGCAATTAGCCTGTTGCAGGCTAATTGGAGAGGGGGAATGTTTGCGTGCGTGCGTGCGCGTGCTCGCGAGAGCAGCGGTCACCCCCGTCGACGGACCTGAGCGCGCTGGAGCAGCAGGTGTCGGCGCTGCGTGCGGACCTGCAGCGCCAGCAGAGTGCCGGCGCGACCGGAGCTGCGGTCCTGCAGGAGGGCCTCGCCGCCAGCCAGCACGAGCTGCTGCGCATCAAGCAGCAGCTCGAGGTGGCCGAGAAGGTGAGGAGGGGGGAGGGGGGAGGGGGGAGGAGGGGGGGAGGGAGGAGGAGGAGGGGGGGGAGGGAGGAGGAGGAGGAGGGGGGGGAGGGAGGAGGGAGGAGGGAGGGAGGGAGGAGGAGATGGGGGGGGGGAGGGGGGAGGGAGGAGGAGGAGGAGGGGGGGGGAGGGAGGAGGGAGGGAGGGAGGAGGAGGGGGGAGGGAGGAGGAGGAGGGGGGGGAGGGGGGAGAGAGGAGGGAGGGAGGGAGGAGGAGGAGGGGGGGGAGGGAGGAGGGAGGGAGGGAGGAGGAGGAGGGGGGGAGGGAGGAGGAGGGGGAGGGGGGAGGAGGAGGGGGAGGGAGGAGGAGGAGGAGGGGGGGAGGGAGGAGGAGGGGGAGGGAGGAGGAGGAGGAGGGGGGGGAGGGAGGAGGGAGGGAGGGAGGAGGAGGGGGGGGAGGGAGGAGGAGGAGGGGGGGGGGGAGGAGGGAGGAGGGAGGGAGGAGGAGGAGGGGGGGGGGGAGGGAGGAGGGAGGGAGGAGGAGGAGGGGGGGAGGGAGGAGGGGGGGGAGGGAGGAGGAAGGGGAGGGGGGAGGAGGAGATGAAAGGTTGAAGAAGCTGGTGGCAGAGAGGAAGAAGGTGGATCTGGTTGAGGAAGTGGGGAGGATCGATGTGCTGGAAATATAGAGGAGCAGGAGGAAGAGGAGGAAGGAATGGGTGTATGACTGGGAGGATGAGCGATTAGATGCATGGATGAATGTCTGAATGGGCTTTTGATTGACCGACTTAATTACTCGATTGGTGGATGTGTGACTTGGATGGGCAGATTTACTGACTAGGTGGGTGGACGCTTGCCTGGATGAACGTCTGAACTACCGAACGGCGCAGGCGAACGAAAGCGTTGACGCAAGAATTAATGAAATAAACAATTTTTTTATTTGACCAGGTAAGGCCCACTGAGCTGTACAGCTCTTTTTCAGACGTGACCTGGCTACCACAAATGATAGCTCAATGAAGTGGCTTGTCATCGCGTGGACATTTCTAGCTGTAGCCAAATACTCTAAACACACATTGATTTTAAATAAAACCAAGGGACCCAGATAAAAATCCACGCCACCACGGGGAGAGACACACACGCAAAACTCCAAACGTACAACAGGCGTCAAGCGTTGGGATCTGCCCCATGACCCCCTGCACACCAGGCGAGGTGGTTAACATCTCCCAGCCACCGTTGGCGCCCTACTTACCGCGTCACGACCCACGTTGTTGTTGGTTGTGCTTGCAGGAGCTGGACAGCAAGTTCCAGGACACGGCGGCCTACCGCAACCTCAAGGACATGCTCGCGCGCAAGAACGACTCCATCAAGGACCTGCGCAAGCGGCTGTCGCGGTGAGGGGACGCGCGGACCAACCACACGGCCGCTTTGTCGCAGAGCTTGGCGGTTTTAGAATCCAGCGGCCGCCCCCGGTTATCGCTGCGGGTGGTGTCATGGCAACCACGCGTCGTCGGTCGTCCGCTTCTCAGTCGATGCTCAAGAATCTGCGATGCAAATTCGCGAGAGTTGGCCATTGTGCGTCGCGGTCCATTTTGACAAATTATAAAATGAATAACGATGACATAATGATGTAAAGCTTTTGTGACTGCAGGGATTCATCTTCTTGGTTCTTTCGGTAAAGTCACGTAGAAGGGAAATAATAAAATAATAAAAAATAAAATAATTCTCACGAAGTTTCGGCCACAACACAAGCAGCCGTCCTCAGGTGAAGAACAGGTCTGTCGGAAAGACAGCGTCTGAATGAAATGGTGGTGTTCAGACTCTGTTCTTCACCTGAGGACGGCTGTTCGCGTTGTGGCCGAAACGTCGTGAGAATTATTTTATTTTTATTATTTTATTATTTCCCTTCTACGTGACTTTACCGAAAGAACCAAGAAGATGACACAACGCGCCAAAATCTGCAGCCAAGTCAACAACTCAGAGGCACGGAGCCAGGGGCTGCTTGAAAGACTGACCAGTCAGATAGAGGCCGTTAGATGTTCCTTGAAAGTCAGAGTGCATTTGATATTGTGGATGTGCCAAGGGATTAGAGAGTTCCACACCGGGACACGATAGCAGAGAACCGACATGAGGCTGTAAAAGTTGGAGACCTTGGTGTCCGAAGCAGAAATTACATCAATCATGAATGGCAATCATCGTCCACTACTGGCAGACTGATGCTCCAGGAAACTCATGCAAATTACACTTAGTCCTGGTCTCTTGAGGTCCCACCAATGTTAAACAAAATAAACGTAAAGCTTCGAATGCAGAGTGTGCACCGATTGAAAACATACCTTTTGGCGGTGGCCCATCGGGCCGCTGCTCTTCACAGAATCGTGGGCGACAGCCACATCTGTTGTCTGTGTGTGTGCGTGCAGGTACGAGCCCGAGGACTAGCGCGGTGAAAATCATGGTGGGGGGGGCCCTGGCTCTGTGTGGGACCCCCCCCCCCCCGCAACTCCCCAGCCCCCCACTGCCTCACTGCCCACATTGAAGGGGCCGCAGTAACGACGCCCTTGCCACACACGTCGATCCAACCCTCCCTCCCTCCTCCTCCTCACCACCCCCCCGCCACCGGCACCACCGACTCCACAGCGCGGCGAGGCCCCTTAAGCCGCACGGCGCTGGCAAACGGGCGTCGCGGCGCTTCAGAGCGGGCGTGGGCAACCTACAGCCCACGGGGGAGGGATGTTACCCACAACTTAGAAATAACAGCACCACGCTGCAGAGGTGTGTGTGTGCTGCTGCCGCTCCCGCCGCTGCTGCTCACAAGCAGCAGGGGTTAGCGCTCCGCGCTACGAACACGGCGACCCGAGTTCGATTCCCGCTCATGGCCCGCCGACAGTGACGATGATATGAACCGGTTCTGGGCCTCCCCTATGTCGACTCGGCCTCAAATGAGTACCTGGTGCCGGTGTGTAAACATCGCCACGAGGGAGACAAAGGCGGTCGGGCGCGGCCACCGGCCGCCCGTCCCCCTCGTGTGCCGTGCTGTGCCCGGCCTTCATAGTTGCCCGCTAACGGTACTTGCCCCTACAGTCTTGTCAGGGTTACACGGGGGATCTTTGTCTTTGTGCACGCGCGCGCGTACGCGTGTTATTAATGTGCCCACCGCCCAAAGTTATTTCAAAGAGTCTTAATTTGTCCCCCGGTAGGGAAGTCGCCTCCCCACCGCTGCTGCGGAGTGAGACGACGTCGCTCAAAGGAACAACAACAACAACAGCGGCGGCCGCTTTTATTTCGGTTACCGGAGCAACGTAAATACACAGAAGTTGTTCGGTCTGCTCCTTCAAATAGAAAACTGCTGATTCACATCTGAAATTTGTGGCTTCTCGGCTCGCGGAGCGTGGGTGGGTGGGGGGGAGTGGGGGGGCCGGGGTTTGAGTGGCGGCACCGCAGGGTTCAGAGTTTCCTGCCGGCGCGCACGCGCGACATCTGTTGAAGTGTGGCCGACTTGCCAGCACGCGCAGCGCCGAATCTGCCTACCTCGCGTTAAGCGGGCGGCTGCACGGAGGGGGGCACGGGAAGGATCCAGACAGCTGCACGTGGCCCGTGTCGGGTGGTGGAGGGGTTATGGTTAAAGACTCAAAAGAAAAAGAATCAGATTATATACCACGCGATGATCTCGCCCAAAAGAAACTTAATTCCGCATCAAACCTACGCTTAGCCTTTTCGTGCCGAGCCAAATTCGGTGAAAATCAAACGTGCAGTCATAGTGTCCGCTGCCTAGAGTGACGACCCACATTCAAATTTCAAATACGGGAATGCCGCGTCAGGTGCAAGATGAACATTGCCTCAACCACCACCAACCACCACCACCAACCACCACCACCAACCACCACCACCCTCCTGCCGCGCCGCACCACGTGACCGCAACATTTCCCCCAACTGCAATCCGTTCACAACTCCTTCGGAGCACTTGCAGGTACAGTCGCAACCAACCCAGTGCGCGCGTTGTTGTTGCGGGGAGCGGTGGTGTAGTGGTTAGCACTACGCTGCATTACGAACCCAACTACCCGGGTTCGATTCCCACTCACGGCCAACACCAGTGACGATTATTTGCACTGGTCCTGGGCCTCCCCTAGCTCGACTCAGCCTCAAATGAGTATCTGGTGCGGTGTGTAAAACATCGCCACTGGGGAGACAAAGGCGGCCGGGCGTGGTGTTGGCCACCCACCCGCTCGTGTGCCGTGCCGGCCTTCATAGGTGGTGCTCGCTAACAGCACTTGCCCCAACAGTCTGTTAAGGCTACACGGGGGGGATCTTTGTTGTTCAGAGGACGGCCCAAGGAGGAGCTGCTGCTGTGTCTGAAGTTCATACACTTGATCTCTTTAACCAACCCAACTACCAAGGGCACCTCTCAGAGTTGGAATTGGAATACGGATTGAGTAGGCGCGACACCACGTTTTAATGCGGGGTGGGGTTTTTATCCGCGCTCCCTTCGACGGAGGAGGAGGAGGGACGACAAAACTACACCAACTCTTCCCCCCCCCTCCTTCCCCGGTGTAGGGAGCAGACATCTACGACTGGCTTGCGAGCACACTGCCACCTGATACGTAAGAACAGACCGGATTTTCTTAAAAAAAAAAATCTGCCATTGAAAATGAGCTCCCGACTCAATGGACCTCACCCCAAATAACACTTCGCTGATTGGTGACAGGGCCGAGGATATATCAACTCTCTTTTTAAAAAGAACACGTTTCTTCACGTTATGTCTGAGACCTCGATTCGAACCCAGGCCAGTGGTCTTGACGCCTGGGTCACGCGACCACCAACCTCCCGCAGTTGTGGTCAGCGCAGGCCAAAGTTTCAGCGCGTTTTGTTGCCCGTGGAGAGCGTTGCTCCTCCTCCTCCTCCACACGTCTGTCCGGGTCTGCTGTTGATTCATAATAACCTCGGGGGGGGGGGGTGAGCGGTCCGTTTTGGAGGTTTCGTGAAATCGCTATCGCATAGCAGCGTCTCTGGAACACAGGTGATTAAACGTGACATGGAGGTGATACACCAGTGTGTGTGAGATTGTCTTTGTGAGTATGCGGTGGTGTCTGGGTTAGCGCGCTTTTGCTACGAATCCGGCGGCCCGAGTTCGATTTCCCGCTCACGGTCAACACCAGTGACGATTATCTGAAGCGGTCTTGGGCCTCCTCTAGGTCGACTCAGCCTCATGAGTACCTGGTGCGGTGCGTAAAAACATCGCCACGAGGGCGATAAAGGCGGCCGGGCGTGGTGCTGGCCACCCACCCCTCTCGTGTGCCGTACCGGCCTTCATAAGGTGCTCGCTAACAGCACTTGCCTCAACAGCCTGTTAAGATTATATGGGTGGCGGATCTCTGTATTTGTGTGAGAAAGCTGTGCATGAACTTTATTTTCCTCTTCTTGGTTCTTTCGGTAAAATCACGTAGAATGGAAATAATAAAATAATAAAACATAATAAAATAATTCTCACGACGTTTCGGCCACAACGCAAGCAGCCGTCCTCAGGTGAAGAATTATTTTATTATGTTTTATTATTTTATTATTTCCATTCTACGTGACTTTACCGAAAGAACCAAGAAGATGAATCCCTGCAGTCACGAAAGCTTTAAATCGAAATTAATTTTTATTGTTTTAACACAGGCCCAGAGGCCAAAACGTCACGCAGCCAGCAACCAACAGCACTCCCCAAGTTGTATCTTAATTTTGGAGCTTTCGTGACTGCAGGAATTATTCTTTGGTTTTTTCGGTAAAGTCACGTATAAAAATAAAATAATATAATTAAATAATAGCATACGACGTTTCGATTGCAACACAAGCAATCATCATCAGGTATAATGAAATAGCGACATAGAATATAACCAGAAAACTATAGACAGACATATAAGCAGACAGATATCACCAAGATACATAGAGAGAGCAACCCAGGTACAGAGAGAGGTGATCGTCTCTGTGGGGTGGCCTTAAATAGACAGAGGGGGGCGGAGGCAGAGAGAGGGAGGGGGTAGGGAAAACATTTACATGTCAATGAGTACGAAGGGAGGGGAGTAAGGTAAGCAGGCTTAGAGGGAGACAGAACACACTAAATTAAATAACCTAGCAAAGTATCGAAATGTTATGTAAAACGACACAGAGAGTCGGTCAACACACAATTAACGCATTGCCTGGTCGATTACGTATTTCAAAGATTGCTAAGTTAGAATTTAAGTGTGAAAATTCCAAAGAAAGACAAAACATAAAAAAGAGGAACGGAGACACACAGACAGAGCAGAGCCTAAGAACGATACAAAACGAGTGTAGACAGAGAAAATTACACTAAATATACAGGCAGAGAGAGAGAGAACAAGAAACCCAGAGAGAGAGAAAAAGGTAAACTTGGAACTTCCCCGTAGAAGTGGTTCAATCTTAATTTTGGAGCTTTCGTGACTGCAGGAATTATTCTTTGTTTTTTTCGGTAAAGTCGTATGCTATTATTTAATTATATTATTTTATTTTTATACGTGACTTTACCGAAAAAAACAAAGAATAATTCCTGCAGTCACGAAAGCTCCAAAATTAAGATTGAACCACTTCTACGGGGAAGTTCCAAGTTTACCTTTTTCTCTCTCTCTGGGTTTCTTGTTCTCTCTCTCTCTGCCTGTATATTTAGTGTAATTTTCTCTGTCTACACTCGTTTTGTATCGTTCTTAGGTTCTGCTCTGTCTGTGTGTCTCCGTTCCTCTTTTTTATGTTTTGTCTTTCTTTGGAATTTTCACACTTAAATTCTAACTTAGCAATCTTTGAAATACGTAATCGACCAGGCAATGCGTTAATTGTGTGTTGACCGACTCTCTGTGTCGTTTTACATAACATTTCGATACTTTGCTAGGTTATTTAATTTAGTGTGTTCTGTCTCCCTCTAAGCCTGCTTACCTTACTCCCCTCCCTTCGTACTCATTGACATGTAAATGTTTTCCCTACCCCCTCCCTCTCTCTGCCTCCGCCCCCCTCTGTCTATTTAAGGCCACCCCACAGAGACGATCACCTCTCTCTGTACCTGGGTTGCTCTCTCTATGTATCTTGGTGATATCTGTCTGCTTATGTCTGTCTATAGTTTTCTGGTTATATTCTATGTCGCTATTTCATTATACCTGATGATGATTGTTTGTGTTGCAATCGAAACGTCGTATGCTATTATTTAATTATATTATTTAATTTTTATACGTGACTTTACCGAAACAACCAAAGAATAATCCCCAAGTTGTGTTTACGTGATTCTTCATATTCGGCAGTTATTTGAATGAACGAGGGCTATTCAAATGAGCAGTAACCATGTGTGTATGTACGTTGAACGTATTTCGCACCGTACGTAGTAGAATCAGAATATTTATACTGCAGGAGGAATCCGATGAGCTGTAAAGCTCTTTATCACATATGTCCAGTAGGGGCACAGGGTAAGAACGTCACAACAACAACAAGTACACAAACACGAGAGTAGTGAAAAGTAACATAAAGGTAAACAAATCACACAAACGCAAACAAATACAACACGAAACCATCCCCACCCTGCCAGGCAAAGCCCACTGAGCTATTAACTCATTTTTCAGAAGCGACCTGGCCACAAATGATAGGGGCCGTCCATAAATGACGTCACGCACCTGGGGGGGGGGGGTCAGACATTTGTGGCGATGTGTGACGAGGGGGGGGGGGGTTGAGAAATGTGACGTCACGTCAATATGCGCAACTTTAAAACACATTCCTGCGGAGGGAGCTGGTAGGAACGTTGGGTTGCTCGGTCAATGGCCAGGGTCAACGGCGGCGTGGTGTATTCCGCAAATATGCCCGACTGTGAGGGCGGGCACAAGCCGGCGTGAGTAGGTTAAACGTTGAGTTTTATAAGGGCACCACGGGGTGACCAGCCCCTCCCCACCCAGCCCCACCCCTCCCACCCCCCACGCAGCCCCACCCTCCCCACCCAGCCCCTCCGCACCCAGCCCCTCCCCACCCTTCCCACCCAGCCCCTCCCCACCCTCTCCACCCAGCCCCACCCACCCCTCCCATATTTGGAATGCACGACGGACACAATAATCCCCTGTGGGCTGGTGTAACCAGGAGGTTCCAACCAGTATAAATATGTAATGCGGTTGTAAACGGCCCTTCTGAGGTGCCGTCAGGGGGGGAGGAGTTAGGTCACGTGGGGGGAGAGGGGTTGAGTATAGAAGGAGGGGAACCGGAAGAGCAGGGGGGGTGACTGGGAGCCAGGAACAGAGGAAGGCCACGTAGGGCGAAGCGGGGTGTGGCGAGATCGCCACGAACACGGGGGAAGCGAGGATCGGCACCGTTGGCCAGCGGTGACCGACCCG